ATGATACAAAAGAGTTCAAAGGAAGTACACCGAATCCTAAGAGAATGAAGTTAGTCATTCAAGTTGGCCATTACAATGCTATAATTGATGAAGAAGTGAAGAATTGATGAAGATTAGACGAAACCTTAACAGTAATCGTGTCTCCTCTTCTCCAAGACTGCTTCCTTTTCTCAAAACACATCTTATCTTTTTATAAGAGAATTTGGGTTGGGCCTCGCATCATTCATTCACTTAAGCGTTATTCTTTCTTTCAGTTTTTCTCTAATTATGCTGACAATTATGCTCCTTACTCTTGTATCAATGTATTCTCGAATTCATCCTATATTGGGAGAAAAATAGATTAGAATTAACATAAGTTAAATGGTTTCATAACAATTTAAGGCATAATTATATCAACTTTTTACCACTTAACATCAGCCAAAAGACATACAACATGAACTTCATTTGTAGTGTCGTATATTTCCTACAGACTTCTCATCTTGGGTTGTTGTGGCTCTATTTCTTTATCTGAGGACTCAATGGTTGTTATTGTTGAAGGCACAACAATTTTTGAACTAGTTTCTTCTTCTGTCGGGTTACTCTAGTACCAATGTTTTGTTTCTTCTATATGAACATCTCATCTTACCACCATTTTATTATTAACAGGATCAAACAATTTATACGCTTTAGATTTTCCATCATACCCGATAAATATGTACTTCTTACTTCGATCTTCTAATTTAGTCCTGTGTTGACTTGGTACTTGGCCATAGGCCATGCTACCAAACACCTTCAGATGAGAGACATTCGGCTTCATACCACTCCATATCTCCTGAGGCGTCTTCTCTCCTAGCCTTGCATGTGGACATCTATTTAGCAAATAGACTGCGCACTGCACCGCCTCTGCCCAAAGCTTCTTTGACATATTCTTCCCTTTCAACATAGATCGAACCATATCAAGAATGGTTCGGTTCTTTCGTTTTACTACACCGTTTTGCTGCAGAGAATATAGGGCAGTCAGGAAACGTTTGATCCCATGTTCCTCACAGTATTTGTTGAACTCAGTAGAAGTGAACTTGCCTCCTCTGTCAGATCGGATTGCTTTGATGACTTTGCTTGTTTCTTTCTCCACCATAACTTTGAATTTCTTGAAAGTTTTAAACACTTCTGACTTCTCCTTCAGAAAATAGACTCATGTTTTCCTTGAAAAATCATCAATGAAAGAGACGAAGTATCTCTTATCACTGAAAGATTTTAAAGTTATTGGCCCACACAAATCAGTATGGATCACTCTGAGTTGCTGCTTTGCTCGACACTCAGAACTTCTTGGGAAAAAAGTCCTCGCTTGCTTCCCAATCACACATTCTTCACAAAACCTTTTTTCGAATTCCATTTTAGGCAATCTGAGCACCATCTCCTTTTTCACCAACGCAGTCAACCCACTAAAGTGAAGATGACCAAACCGCAAATGTCACTTCATGACCTCATCCTCCATATCAATTTACATACAGTTATCTTGAATTGTTTCCAGCTCAAGTTTGTACATGCGATTTTTCTTCATTCCCACCAAAGCAACAAGTCTCCCTAATTTATCCTTCAGTTGTAGTTCTCGGTCCTTCATCAGAACCGAGTACCTTTTCTCCATTAACTGCCTCATGCTCAATATGTTGCTTTTGAGATCAGGTACGTAGTATACATCTCTGATCTCTCCGATTTGCCCATTTCTCTGTTGATACCATATCTTTCCTTGACCTTTGACAACTACTTTCAAAGCATCACCGAAAGAAACAGATTCAGACTCCACCTTTGAAAGTATTTTGAATAAGCGTTCATCACCACACATGTGGTTACTAGCACCGTTGTCTAAGTACCAAACCGAGTTATTAGAACAGTTCTGTTTGATCTCAGTTTCTGAAGTGTTTGTCACCATCAGCAATCCTTCATCTTCTTCCTCAATAAGAAAGTTTGTTGGTTCCTCCTTTTTCTTCTCAGACCTACAATCTTTGGAAATATGACCCAGTTTTCCACAATTATAGTATTTTACGGAGTAACAACTCTTGGCAACATGCTCATTCTTCCCACAATTATAACATTCAATATTGTTTGTGTTTGTCCAACCACCCCGAGTCTGTCCTTGGCCACGCCAGTTCTGTTGACCGTCTTGCTCATTTCCTCGTCCTCCTTTTCCTCTACCACCACGACCTCTGCCTTTTCCTCGGCCTCTAGTGCTCTGAGCATAGAGCACCTTCTCTTCTTTTATTGTTGCCTTTTCCTGGAGAGCCTGTTCAAGGGACTTCCCCTTCTTATTTTTCCTTCTTTGCTCATGCGCTTCTAGGACTCAGCAAGCTCTTCAAGGGTGAGCGTTGACAGATCCTTGGATTCCTCTATTGTGCACATGATGTTCTCGAAATCATCTGTCAATGATCTCAAAAAAATTTCAACAACTCGATTTGATGAAAGACTTTCACCATTCTGATTCAGCTTGTTCACCACGGTCTCCACCTGAGTAATGAACTCGGATACGCTTTCAGGCTCTTTCATCCTCATGTTTTCAAGCTCGCCCCTAAGGGTTTGAGTCGAACTTGTTTCACCCTTTCATCTCCTTTGTTTGCTTTTTCAAGTGTATCTCATGCTACTTTAGAAGATTTTACATTAGCTATCCTCTCAAAGCCAGATTCGTCGACAGCTCGGTATAGTAGATATAGAGTCGCCTTGTTTTTCGCTCGAACGACCTTCAATGCGTTCAGCTGGGCATTTGAATACCCATCTGTGTTCGCCGGTTCCTCATACCCATTCTCGACCACATCCTAGTTATCTTGGGAGCCGAAAAGAGCCTTCATTTGTACCTTCCAGTTGTCATAGTTGGTGTCTTTCGTTAACTTGGGTAGCAGGATGTCATTGGTTAGACCTGTCATTTCCTCTCAAGTGATTGTACTCAACTCACACACCTCACAAAGCTCTGAGTCGCTCCTCTCTCTTTCTCAGCCAGCACACACTGCGACGTTCTCTCTTGAGGCTTGGTGGGCTCTCTCACACTCACCTCACACACAAGCTCTGATGCCAATTTGTTGGTAACAGGAAAACAAAACAACGTTCTCAATTTTTCTCCTGATGCAATTTCAAATGAGTTGTTATAATTATTTATGGCTAAAATATTTGCCTCTTCAAATGTCAAACGTAAATCATAATACCTATTAAATAGGTTTACAACTCATTAGTTATATCACTCGTAATTAAAACCATTAATATTATTATAGGAATACTAAACGTCTAATTTAAGTTTTACAATAGTTGACTAGTGAAGATATAAGATTCGATTATTTTAAAATTATAATCGATTAGTTTAGCTTATAATCGACTATAAATAGTTGTAGGTTTCCTTGCTCAAGCGATGGATTTCTCGCTTGAGCCAGAGTTGACCACAGGCTAAAGCTCCAACGCAGTTAGACACATAATGCAACTTGGGTCACCATATATTTCAATCAGTTCTCACTCGAGCGAAATTACACATCGCTTGAGCAAAAAAACACATGAGATTACTCATTAGTTTCAGGTCTCCTCTCTCAAGCGATAGATTTCTCGTCTGAGCGAGAATTGACCATAGGCGTTAAGTTAGTCAATCACTTCTCGCTCGAGCGAAATTATTCATCGCTTGAGCGAGAATTGACCACATGACGCAGTTAGCCACATAATGCAACTTGGGTCAACACATATTTCAATCAGTTCTCGCTCGAGCAAAATTACTCATCGTTTGAGCAAAAAAACACCCGAGATTACCCATTAGTTTCAGGTCTCCTTGCTCAAGCGAAGGATTTCTCGCTTGACCGAAATTAAACCCCACAAAACCCTTAAGTTTCAGGTCTCCTCGTTTAAGCGATGCATTTCTCGCTTGAGCGAGAGTACTGTGAACATGAAAGAGTACTAATTGTGTAAATAATGTTCCAAATATGCTATTTTGAAAAATATTTTTTAAAATAGTATTATTTATGAAAAAAGTCTTTTAATTTCTAAGACTTAGAATAAATGTTTTTATATGTCTTTAGTTTCCTTTGTTGATATCAAAATTTAAACTTTATTGGAATAATTGACTACAAGATAATTATTTATAATATCTGTTATTTAAAGTAGATTCCAACAAACTATATTAACCATTATAATATTTGAAACATAAAAATTTAAAGATATTTTTCAAAATATTTAATTATTAAAACTGATATTATTTAGTATATGATACACTATTAAACTTGATTATTTACTTGTCATTAAATTATTGTTTATTATTTACATATATATTGAAATATTATATTGATTTTTTAAATGAATTAAATTTTACAAATTTATAAATAAAATAATTTTACAAAACTTTTAAAATTGTATATATAATCAGATAAAATCTTTACGAATATATTTAACAAATATAAATATTTTAATTACTCATTTAGATATAAAAATACTATCTAACTTATAAATATTAATTACTTTTATTTAATATTTTTAAATTATTTTTTTATAAAATACTAATTAATTTTATTATATTAATATTTTATAGTTTACTTTATTTAAATTATATTTTATAATAAAAAAATATTTGTTTAAAATAATTGTATTTAAAATAAAATAAAAAATATTACAAATATCTATAAATATTATAAATATAAAAATTGTAAAAAAAAATTAAACAAAGACTAAACAAATAAAAAAAAATTATTGTGAAGTGGGTAGTGACCTCTTTCCCATTCCTATTCGCAGTTATGATTACCTTTGTTAAAATGTCCCAGTAGATTTCAGTCATACATTTAATAAATTAAAGATAGTTTACTTGATAAACTTATTTATCTTTATTCTATATTCTTATCATTAAGTACTTTATCATATGCTTATTCTTTTTCTTTTTTTCAAAGTATTAATTCATTTGGATTAAAAACATTCTTCCCAAACTTTCTTAAAATTGATGGATTAAAAACATGTTCCAACTATAAACAAGATGTTCTTGATAAGGTTCCAAGTCTCTTTGCTCCATATTACAAAACATTCACCACCCAAGAAATTACACGAATTATGATCAACACAAATATTGCCCCAAAAAGTCCAAGCCAAGAAAACAACACAGAAGACATTTGCCCAAACTGCATGTGGGGGTTCAAAGGCACAGCATGTAGGTAAGTAAGAACAAGAAATGTGAGACAAACACCTGTGCCTATTGATAAGAACCCCATTGCGACTTCATTCTGTAAGGGAACTCCACTTATAAGTAAGAGAGTCACACCAAGTGATGCAATGAAAGAGATGGTGTTCATCGTTAAGAAATTTGTAGCCAATTCTCGAAAATTGAATGGGTAGAAACGAAAATAAGCCGAACTATTAAAATCTACATTACCACCTGGTGGGTTCATCACAACACCAAAGGTCGCTGTTGCGATCATTGTAGCCACGACACTTAACATCCCTCTCATTTCTTCCAACCTACCACTCTTCTGCTGTAAGAACTTGTTCACACGCTTCAAAGACTTGCTCCAAAACTTTTCATTTGGATTCACTATCCTTGATGGAACAACATCTATGACTGATGTGGATGGAGGGTAATCTACTTGGTTCTGTTCATTGTTCTTGAATCCGGCATCCATCAACATGAGTTTTATTTGAAGACTTCTCATATCTTTTGGACCCAGCTCTAGCATGTCCATAGCAGTATAACCCATCTTGTTCTCAGCATTTGCTTCTTCTTTTATTTTGGAGATTGAGAGTAAATACCTTACCGTCTAAAAACATACACCATACATTAATTAAGTTTACTAAGTAAGACTAAACACTGTGATAAAAAGTCAAGTCAACAACTGTTTTATTATTGGTGAGGAGACTCTTTTTTCACAGAAATCTTAGCATGTTTATGCGTTTTTGTTAAAACATCATTTAAGTTCTGTAATTTTCATGCAGTGAAAACAAGTTTTACTTCTGGAATCAATCAAAAAATAATTTAAAATCGTGTTCCATAAAATGGAAACAAATAGTATATTTGAAAGGAACAAAATGTGCAATTAAAAGATATAATTTAACTGATGAAAAAAGGGGAATAACGTACCTCAATTTGCTTCAACATAACAGCCAGATGGAGAATGGTATTTCCACGATGAAAGTCTCCAATGTTTAGAAAGTCCTCCCTGACGTCTCCTACTTGCACCAATGTTTTCAAGGTCTCCAAGTGATTGTGCTCGACACAAAGGTGAAACATAGTTTTTCCTGACCCATCAAGCACCATCACTGATTCTGACTTTGCTCCACTAACCAACTTTCTTGCAACCTCTGTTCTTCCTCTCATAGCTGCATAGTGAAGAGGGATTCTTCCATCTTGGTCACTCATCAAACATGCATCTGCACATGTTTGCAACAGCAAATGAACAATCTCTACATGGCCTTCTGCAGAAGCTAGATGAAGAGCGGTGCGTTTGGAGTGGTCCAACTCAAGAACAAGTTGAGGTTTGTGAGTGAGAAGGGACTTTGTGAAATCAAGGTGGCCAAGTAAAGCTGATATGTGTAACGGAGTTTCTGTGAAGGTTGTTAAGGAAAGCTTGTGAAGGATAAGAGGGTTTCTTGCAATTAGAGTTTCTAACTCTGATACACTGCCTCTCAATGAAACCTCATAAAGAGTACTCAGTGTATCGTTTTCTTGAACATAACTCATTTTGTGAAAGTGATCTCTTAATTCTTTAAATCTTTGGTTGAATAATACATGTACTTGGAAAAACCAGTGGAAGAAGAGTTTACTTATAGACTCATGATATACACTTGACTATGAAGTTTCGTACCAAGAGACTCTTCACTACTCAACGTACTGCTTGCACTATGTGGAAACAACAAATCAATTTCCTAGAAAGTGTTGCAATACATTTTCAAAATGATCAATTACAAATTTTATATTGTTTAATTCTTATTCACAATTATATTATTTTTTTATTTAAGTTTTCATATGTTAAAAAAATTATAATTTTAATTAAATTTTCAACTTTCCTTGGTTTTATTTTTTGTTTTAATTTTATTGAATCATAGATTTAACATTTTCGTTGAAAGTACCAACAACCAATAATTTAACTGATTAAAGTTTAAAATGACCAGTTTTTTAAACCAAAATTACATTTTAGAAATTAATGAAGACCAAAATTTAATTTAGCATTATAAAATGGAAACATCCAAGAATGTCGCCGTGAAAGATATTATGCAAGCAAGAGTGACATATTTGCCCAGAAGTTTGAAAAATGGTATTCAGGAAAATGACTCGTGACAAAACCGAGTCACAAAATTTAATGCCAACAGTAACTAGTTTTTCCGTACCATGTTTGTAAAATTAGATTTTTGTGGTAAAATTTAATTCAAATAATTAACATTTTTTTCATATATAATTAAATTTAATATTATACCTCAAATATTAAAAATATAATTATATTTATATTTATATTTATTTAATTAATACTTTACCTGATCTTTCTATTTTAAATATAATCCTCTGTAATAAATAGTCAATTTTAATAATTTAATATACTAATTCTCTTTCTAGACTAAGTTTTTTGAAAGGAAAAAAAAAAAAAAACAGAATCGTACATTACAGGGTCCATGATTTAGTTTTGATTAATAAATTAGAAAAGAAAAAGACATTGCCAACGCTTTTTGGGTGTTAATATTTGGCTCAATTTGGTCCAGATTGGCTATACTATGATGCGATTGAAGAATAACAGAAGCAAAATATTATGATATATTTGATGAATATTACTAACTACAAACAAGATATGTGTGCCAAGGTAATTTGACTTTTGGAAGCCTCACCAATTATAAGCTTTTATCCATACATTTACCGTATTCTTAGATGCAATTAAATCAGATTTGGTGAGATTTGTAGAAATTTAAACTAGTTGGCCTAATATGATCGCCTATACAACAATATATACTTCTCTTGTACAAAATCAGATCATCAAGATTCAAACACATTCAGGTTACCCCACTCCTCATTCGTGTTATATGATTAATTACATCAGGAGGAGTATCATTAGTTACATTTAAATTACTTTATAAACACAATACTATCACATGTAGCCCTACACTGATGTTCAAATTACGTAAGCATTTAAATTAAAGGTATAGCCTACTTTTCTGCTTTCCCTGAAGATGAACATAAGCATAAGACTTTATAACAGATGAAGCAAATACATCATTTGCTTTGTTTAGATGCAACAGTTCGCTGAACAGTTGAAACACCATCCACAAATTTTGTCCGGAAAAGAACATTTGCGTTATTGAACATGCCTTCCTTCAAGGAAACCACAATAAACTGCAAATACGAACCAAAGGAAATGAGGTCACAGCAGATGCTTTGAAAATAACCTTAAGAGAAAGTGGATTTTCAAAAATGTTTGGAACAGCTGAAATATTTTCACTTGCTTTTTTTAGGGAAAACAAGGTTGTTGTTTGCAAAAAGAATGTTGTGTCTGAAATTAGCCGAAATTTATAAAAAATCTTATTTCTGAAAAATAAATTGTTTTCTTTCATCTGAAAGTTATAACTCTTTTCTTACATTTATTTTCTTTTCACCTTCATATTTTTTTTTCCTGATGTAAAAGCTGGGTTTTTGTTACATTCAAACGAAATTAATTATCCTAAATTTGTTTTTCCAGTAAACTGAGCTAAATAAGTTAAATCTGATTATAACATTGAAATAATATAATTTTTTAGTGGACTCAAGCACACCTACAGTAGCAAGTCAAATGAAAAGTATACAACAAACAAGTTTTCCCCACCCACCTCTTGGCATGTTCAACTACATGGATCCAAAGACACTGTAACGTTCAATGGTCAATCATTTATCATATTAATTGACAAACCAAAAAGTAAACTATAATAAGTTAATAACCAAAAATTCACTTGATCATGTGAAAAAGGACAAAAATAGATCAATGTTTTTCTTTTAATATTTTCTATAACCTCAGATAAGAGATTCTTGGCAATTTTATTTTTAGAATTGGAAAGACATATTGCAAGAAATCACACAACAATATCAACAGTTATACTCTACCTGAGAGTGTGGAAAGTGAGCCTTTATCATTCTTCCTATGTTTTGTGTGTGGCTCAAATCAAGAGCTGCATCAACCTGCAAGAATTAAACAATTAACATTTGGCCTGACCACAATCATTGCTTGAAATGTAGAAAAGACAGTACCCAGTGACTGGTCGAGAAATAAAACAACTCCTTTAATTTGTGGAGCATAAAATTATCCACTATAACCTATCAATCCTTAAATTGAAGGTACACTAAATTTACATAACAAACCAGTCCATTATCCAGCTTCACATGTTTCATTTCAAAATATTTCATTTAAAACTCATTTCCTCAGGAAAAAACCTACTATTCTGCGCTAGCATACACTCATTTCATTCTCATCAGCATTTTCAAAATGAAAGAAGGGACATAGGGTAAATTACTCTTCCTCCCATGAATGATGTTCTCATTCCACTAAGTTTTCTGCTGTCTCCCCGAGAAGATAAAAAATGTTTTACTGTTTAGTATGTTTAAACGTAAATAAACTGCTCAAGAGCAATTTTCTTCAATCTGCTAATCTTAGTTACTCGCAACTGATTTTGTATGACCCTGCTATTGATTTTGAAACATTGGAAGATGAAACAAAGATTTTGGGTAATGTTTTGAAACAACTGATTTTTTTCTAATGTTTTGCATCACTGTTTGGTTCATTTTTCACTGTGTTGTTCTTGACCCCGCGACTTTACCAGAATTATCAGTTGGCCCCATGGTTAAACCCGAAGCATCAGCATAGGCTCACAGCTGTCCTAGAGATGAATCTGGCTTTGTGACATTTCCAGAAGAAGGCTAGCCTGTCCCATGATAGTCAGAGAATCATCCCGTTCTCTCACTCTACAGTCTCAATTAGACATTTTCTATAACAGGTTTATCAGTGACAAGCTTAAAGTAACGTTTAGCTTGAGAGGAGTGTTAGAATATATGACAATATACAAAATTATTCAACCATATCTTCAGATTATTTTTTAAAATTAGCTTTCCTATTTCATCATTATCTCTTGAGATCAGTTTCAATGCTTTCTGATCGTACCACAATTTATTTCCCTAACATGCTAGGATTTCGATTAGTACATTTAAAGGTTAGTGCTCTAGGAGGGCACCTCTCAAATTGACATATCACTCTATGTTCCAACTGAAACGACATTAATACGGGGAAAGATCAATAGTACTGAATTTTACAGCAAAATACAAACATCTAGACAAAAATACCGTCAAAGGTGGGAGAGAACAAATGTAGAATAATCATAAACATCGTTTAGAGTTAAATAATTAGGCATACACAAAATGCACGAAATAGAAACCAAAAAACAGTTTGTTCAGGTTAAGTTATGCGTCATGCATCTACAATCCTAAGGCCTTCTGTAAGATTCCACCAGTGTATATAGAGGCAAACCTATATGATTTCAGTGCAGTCTCTTCTAATTACTGTAACAATCAGATAACTGGGATTCTACAAAAGAATTACAAGGAAAAAATACCTCGTCAAGGATGTAAAGTGGAGCAGGTTTGAACAGAAGCAGTGCCAGAATCAGAGAAAGTGCGAGCAGTGATCGCTGACCTCCACTTAATTCAGACAATGACTGCTTCCACACACTTCCAAATGCAACACGAACCTCAAGGCCATCAAGGAAGCTACATCCTTCTGGAGGTTCTAGCTTAGCCATTGTTCCCGGTAATAATGTAGAAAAGATGGATCCAAAGTCACTGGATGAACAAAAAAAAAAAACGTGATACTCAATCAGTGTACAATGGAAAAAGAATAATAAAAAAAAAATAGTCAGTAACCAGACTGTTATGAACTAATTCCGTACAATTGACTGATTCTGTTTATATTATGGTATAATATTCTGGAAGACAGTAATCAGCCACAATTGACTAATTCTGTTTATATTATGACATAATATTTTGGGAAAGCTGTAATTAATATTTGCCTGTATTAAATGGATCATTTGTATATACACCCGTTCTTTTTTAACAGATTAGATTTGTTTTCCTTTGATAGGGATATGATTTTCTTTTTGATGGCACCCAAAAGCTTCCTTTATTTATTCTCCACCCTGAGATCCTATTTTTCATTGAAAGGAATGAAAATACCATTCCACAAACTATGAGGCAAGGATCAACCTCTTGATGTTTTCTCACAAAGGATCTGGTATCATGTTAACCAACATCTTTCAAAAAGCTGAAGTTATTAAATGAAAGTTTGCAGATCGTATTATCACAATATATACAACAAACATAAATTGAGTGGATCAATATTAAAATAAACAATTAAATAACTCACTTATTCACTTTGATCCAAGTAACATTTAGTGTCTCCTTCTTCTTCTCATCTAGCTCTTCAATCACCTTCTTTATTTTGGATTTGTCATTCTAGACCAGGAAAAAAAAAGATTAAGCACTTACCCAAGAAAGTTAAAAATTGTAGAAATAGACTAAAATTCACCTCAATTATGTTTTTTTTGGACATCAAATCATTGTACTCGTCCTCTGCCTTCTCAAACATTGCCATCACTTTCTTGTTCACCCTTTTCTCAAGCCTTATGGGTGCAAAATAATAAAAACAAAAGTGTTACGATAGTAAATTAGGACACATAATTTTAGCAGCACATGAATCAATAATAGTAGATTTTCAAAGCAACAGACCCCGATTGCTCAGTCTGAAGCTTCTCAAGTTCTTCCCTTGATTTACTTGGATCACAAGAAGAAAAATCATAATCAGTCCCACTTCTACCAAACAATTGTTTTTCAGAAGCAATCCATGCATGCTTCTCAATTAGTTTATCTACTCTAACGGAGCAGTCTTTTTGTTCCATCTCCATTCGTTTTACCTGGAATAATAGAATAAAGAGATGGTTCTTCAGCACATAATTCCAAGTGTACAGACAAGAGCTGTTAAAATATTACCTCATTTTCCATCCTCTTCCTTTCTAGATTACTCTCACTAATTTTATGTTCAAGCTTTTGTTGCTCTTTAATAATAGCACTGATTTCCTCATCACATTCTTTCATTTTCAGACGAACTGATTTCAACTCAGACTGAAATTGATCAAGATTATTCCGTGCAGCAACAACCTATAGCTCAGAGAGTTGAGAACACAATCTTGAACTGCAGAAAGAGATCTAACCAAAATAAACACAAATGCTTACTGTGGTTCTTTGTTCTTCTACTTCTGAGGCAAGATTGCTACTCAGCATTGCCAATGATGCTAACTGATTCTCCAAAGATGCTTGCTCCTGGATAACAGCTTCCATCTCCATTACAAGCCTCTCCCTTTCACTATCATGCCCCTACAAACCAGCAAGCAACCAATTAACTTTCACACTGTAGTGATTATTTGTGGTGTGTTTGGTAGGAGAGAACTAGAGGGGAAGGATATGGAAATTATTTGGAGTGTTTGGAAAAGGAGAAATGCGGTGAAAGAAAATTTAAAAATAGTGGGATTCGTTGTACTATTCTCACCTAGTTCCGTTTATTTATCTATCTCTTCCCTCTTCCTTTTTCCATTTCTATTTCAACTAAATACATTTAACTTTCACTTTATTTCTCATCCATTTCGACTCATCTTTTTTATATATATCATCAATATTTCTCTTCTATACCAAACAGGGCTTTAATGATTTGGTTACACTATTTATTTTGGTTATTATCAATGCTGAGCACTGATTATTTTTAAATTGTATACGTGTTTTTCATCAACAACCTATAAATCGCATTCCCTACTCTTGCATTCAGACTGGATGACTCTATGAAATTACATCGTTACTTCCACATGGTACAGGTAACATAAGAGACATCTCTCTTTTTCCTAGGGGAAATCCTTGAAAATACCACAGCTTAACTTTCAATTCACCTTTGACCATCAAATGAAATGTGAACTATTGAACTCCATTGCTTGTTACCGTTACTCTTCACTTTTCTGTCGAGGTCTATCTTGTACGTAAGATTAGGCACATGATTTTTTGTGCGTTCTAGTTACAAGCTAGTTCCATAATCCATATCAATATTGTATGCAAATTTATTCATTAAAAATTTGTCTCAAACAGATGGGCAGACAGATCTGACAAAGAAAGTATATAAGTTCAACAAATTCATTTATGCAAGGCAATTTCAACAATTGAAGGCAGCATTGTCAAATATTATATAACAGACACGTGAAAGCCAATTGAAAGTAATCTCAAGAGAACACAATAAGAATGGAGACTACTGTCAATAAGTGTGAAATATTGGCTCATTAAAAGCTTCATTGCATCTCGGTCACAATGAATATGTCCAATAGGCCATCACAGAAAAGCCATACTTTTGTCGCAACATGATTTTGGCTCGTTGTTACAAATTGAGAATCATCCTAGGGTTGCCATTTATCCAGTTGTAATAAACCACTAAAATTAGTCATCATATAATTTAAAAAAAAAAATTATTTCAAACATACCTTCAAATCTTTTAATGATGACTGCATTTGAGATTTTATGGATTTTATCTTTTTCTCCAATCCTTTAAGTCTACTGCCTCTGTTTTTATCATGGTCTTTTATTGATTTCTCGAGAGATGAAACAGTTTTGACACAGTCCTCATACAAAAGTTGTTTTTCCTTGACAGTTGATTTTGCTTCATTTAACTCTTGCTCAATCTTCTTCACTGATTCTCCAAGCTACAAAGAAAACAAGATGGTGATTGGGGCGAAAAGGAGAAGTCAAAGAGATGAATAACATAGAGAAAAATATCACGACAAATGTGGAATTGCAAATGTTTGTTCAAGAATCAATTTTAGACAAAAAAAAAAAGTAATCAAAACCTTATGATGCTCATTTTGCTCAGCTCTGCTCTGAAACAAGGAAAGGTCGTATGACTTCAGTTCTAATTGTGCTTTGAGATCTAGAAATTTTTTCTGAAGTGGAAGGAGCTTTGAGATCTGGACATCAAGTTACAAAGACAATTTAAAGATTTATAAGATTAAAAATTATGTGGAAATTTTGAAAATATGATTTCATTAAAATGACTAAGCCTCAAGATCATCAGAAGGAATGAATATTAAAATAAATGCGTACAAAAACTCCCAAGTCAAACGAAATTCTTAATGAGTTCAAAACCATACATAAAATCACCACTTTTTGTTTGTCAGGCTATGTAAAGCATGGTCAAAATAATCTCAATAAGGCTTGGGCAACCATCCACCGTGATGTACCTTTTGGGGTTATGTTCCATTTCTAACACATGCTAAACCAAAAAATGTTAAACACCATGTACTTCTTAGCCCTTCCAAAATCTGTTTTCCTCTCAACCATCCCCCCATGATGTTACATTTTTCCTCTAACAGATGCTAAGCTGAAACAATGTGAAATGGCATAACTTTCAATGCAACACACAGGAAACCTACCTAGCATCTTTATTCGAACAATTGAACCACAACCCAATTTTCTTTTTTAATTAGGCTAATGATTCCTATCTTTAAACTTATCAATGCAGTGACAATATCAATATACAACTTTGTTTAACAATGTAAATCATAATTATTGTGTTTTCTAAGTTTCCATATCATTCTGGAAAAAGGGATATTCAGAATCTACCTTTCCCTCAATCTCTGACAACCTTCTTTGATGCATTAAAAGTTTGGCCTCAGCCTCAGCCAAAGCATGAAGTTGCCCCAATAGATCACCACTTCCCCTGTTACAAGAAACACATCACAACATATCCAGAAATATATTCAATTGTTTAAAATGGCATCGGATGCGAACAGTCAATAACTAAGTGGTTGAATCAACTAATAGAAATAGTACCTTGTAAGGTAATACATAAAAATTATATAAAGTAATAAGAACACTCAATATTCGATCATGCTTTACTGACGAGTGTATTGGACAGAAAACAAAATGAGAATTCCTGTGACAATTTCAATGACAAAAACATGATAGCACCATACTTCCTGCTGCCACCAGTCAGAAGACCCCTTGGCTGAAATATATCTCCTTCAAGAGTGACACTTGTAGTGTGAATCTCCCTATTAAATGCAACCTATTAGACATCCAACAAAAATGCAAGTGTGAGCGATATGGTCATGCGGCAGATTAGACATGTATGATTGTAAGAGAATTAACCAGATGAAGTATCATGTAATGGAAATAAACCAAACTCGTCTAACTAAACAGATTTAAAAAGCCTTTTTATTTTACATTAGGTAAATATACAGTAAGAAAAATATGGTGTGTTACAACAAACATCAAGGGCTGATCAAACAATAGCCGAATACTTCACAGAAATGACCATCAAGGCTTAAGTTATGCATTATCAGTAAAGAAATGCATATGAATGCAGATCTAAATCGCAACATGTGGAAGACATGATATCAATAAAGGATTTGTAGCACATCATAAATTTAATGTTAATTGTAACCCAACATATAAAAGGATCATCACTCGTTACCTCCTTTGCTGCATCAATAGTTTTGCAGACAAATGTTGAACCGAATACATATTCCATAGCACTCTAACAACAAATATAAAAACTAGTTAGAAAATATGTAGTTTAGCATAAAATGAAATGCAAAATCTGAGCACCAATATTCCAGAAGAGAGCCAGCAAGATCAAATGCAAAATGAAATTCGAGAAGATTTTTAGAACTTTCAATTGGTATGGAAAGTGCTCTCAGTAACGACCTATTAGATACCACTGCATTATTATAAAAATAAATTGCAATTCAAGGAGCAAACCTTCAATTCTTCTTCATAACCAACCAAAGAAAGAGCTACTTCAGCATTCCCCTTGCCCACCTTAAATGGAAGTGACAAATATCTTCAGCTTCCAGTGATAGCAAAAATTAGTAGTTAAGCAATTTAAAAAATAAAAATTGCAGTGACCAACCAATCTAACAGCAGCTTGCTGAATTCTGGAGGGAACAGAATGGGATTGTATTTTGTTCAAAGGTATAATCGTCACTCTTCTTCTAAGATTGCCATTTTGTAGTAGTTGTTTTCCAGTATTTTCGGTGTCAACAACAACATTATATAACTTTCCACCAGCTGTAACCTAAAAATGGAAATAATTCAGGGCTTCACATAAGAATTTTCATTTATAATTTAGGTACAAGTCATCACGCTATCCAACCTCTAGGGCAGTCATTGTGGACCTATCCTTTACTTTGATTAGTTTTGCAACAACTCCTTTCACCTTCGACCTATCAAAGTTCTTGACAGGGTCACGGTATGTAAATTCAACATTTGCCAGATATGCTGAAAGATTGCGTATTTCATCCCTCCACTTTTGCACACAGTTCATCTCAGTCATACGTTCCTATAAGTTATTTTAGAAGAGAATTGATTTGAAACAACACTTACATAAACACTTTTGTAAACAATTTATTTAAACTGGAAAGAAACTAGCAGAAGATAAACAAATCGAACCTTTTGTAAATCCTCCATCTCACCCTCTTTATAAGAAAGAGACTCCAACTCTTTTCTAATATTTTCCACATCTTTTTGTCTAGAGTTGAGCTCTTTTTCGACCGCATTAGCTTCTTCACGTTTTGACCTTAATTGATTTGTTTTCTCCTTCAGTTCCTTTTCACAATGGCTAATTTTGGCTTTCAGCTGTTTCAATTCTGTTTCAGCACTCCCAACTGCTTCCTTTGCATCCCTTAGTTGATCCTCTAAGCACTTCTCTTCATTACCACTGCTCTTGCCAGCTAAAACACCCTGTCCAAAATTTGAGCAACCGGATAAAATAAACACTAACAGAAATCCCACTGATAGACATCCCAGAGCCAGACAACATAAAATCAATTTACCTGGTATTCTTTTTCATGTTCCTCTAGACTCTTTGTAAGCTCGTCAACTGTGTTTTTCAGATCTGCTGCCCCCTCTTCAGCCTTTTGAACAGCAGATGCCTTCTCTTTTACAGATTGCTTCAATTCTTCAATGTTTTTAACAATCTTAAAACACAGAAGGCTCAAAAACCAAATATTAGTTTCACTAAATAGAAATATTTAAAAACATTAGTAGCATAAAATTTACTACATAATCTTCAACTTGAGCAAACAATGAATTCAGAACATCACCGACATACATTTGCCTTGTTGGCTTCTTCACCCCTCAAATTGTCTTCTTTGTTATTTAATACAGACGTTTCCCGCACAAGATTCTGGGAAAGTGCATCTACCTTCTCTGAGAGAGATTTCAATTCTCCACCCATGTCTGCTTCCTTTTTAGCAGTCAACTGAGCTATTTTGGCCTCCATTTCCTTTATTTCCGCCTGATTTGTCTTAGCAACATCATCAATCTCAGCTATCTTGGCTTTCACTTCTTCCACCTCAGAAGCAGCACTGTCTTTAATCCTCTCCGCTCGAACATACTCAAAAGCAATAACGAACCTTCTCAGCCTATCTAATTCAGCATTGCCATTAGCCCATTGCATGTACTGTGTCTTTTCTTTCCTTAACTTCTCAAGAGCAGGCAGTATCTCCTGGTCAAGAAGCTTGTTAATCTCATCAACCTTGCTCTGCTTCTTCTCAAGTGTTTTTAGAGCAGCCTCTTTCTTTGTCTCGTACATTCTCGTCCCTGCAGCTTCCTCAAGCATAGACAATATCTCTGGTGGTTTCATATTCAAAACCTTAGTGATGCGCCCTTGCATTATAAGGAAATGTGGATTATTAACATTTAGCTGCACTGAATGAAAAAGATTCTGAACTTGACTAGGCTGTGCAAGCTTCCCATTGATCAAATATTTGTTTCTGCCCCCAACCACAATCTGCATTGTACCCCAACACATAACATAATAAACAAAACGATAATTCTTTCAGTTGACCATCGATAGTTACATTTTGCTTTTAAAATGGAATTGTCACTCAACCAACAATCAAACAAAACAACTTAAAACTTAAAAAGGTAAACATAGTAAATCATCCAAGCAACTTCAAACTCAAAACCCACAATGCTTAATTTTTCAATATAAATTATAATTCAAGCTTTTTAATGTTAATTATTAAACATAAGTTACATACTATTTCAGCAAAAAATTGCTAAGGTGGTCCTACATATCTTAATCAATTTTCAAACAACTATTAAACGGAACCCATATAATTCTCTCTCGGCTAAATAACCTAATGGTATGTTTGCTAAAGAAAAATAAAAACGCAGATATCGACACATTTTTATTTTATTTTATATAGTTGAAGAGAAAATTAATAAAAGAGAGAGAGAGAGAGAGAGAGAGAGAGAGAGAGAGAGAGAAACAGGTCCAGCCTAGGTCAATGATAGTTGGGTGACTTATTGACCCAGTTTACATTTTAAAAAAAAAGTTATATATGTCTAACATAATTTAATGAATTCAATCCAAATTTAAAATATTTAACATAATCAAGTAGTGATATATGAAATAACAAATAAAATTCAACACAATATAAATAAATAGAGAAGGAACACAACTCCATAAATATATATATATATATATATATATATATATATATATATATATATATATATAAAAACAAAACATCAACCCGAACAAAAATCAAGTATTAAATAAATTAAGTGCTAAAAACTTTTTTTTGTCATGACTTCCATTTTCTCTTCATTTCAAAAGTCAAAATCCTCAAAAAATACTCAAGATGAAAAAACCAAAGCATCATTGGCAAATAAACCCAAAAGAAACAAACAAAAAAAAAAAAACACTAGGTAAGAGTAATTTATCTGAGAATTTGGTTCAAACTTTGTAGACTTCCTAGTACTTCCTCCAGACTTAAATTTGAGCAAAATAATACTATTATTATGCATAAAAGACTTAAATATAAGCATATCTAACTAATTATCATTCTTAAAACATGCTTCATCAAACAGTGGTTCTATATTCAATGGCTCATTGTATTCATAATGTCAGTTTCCAATGAGAGATTTTTGAGGGAAAAAAAATTGAGAACAGTGAAACTAAAACAAAATTGGCTAGAAAGAAAAAGTAAGAACCTGTCTTGTGACTGTGATCTCGGAATGGCCTTCATACCCAAGAGGGCTCCGCGACCGATCGGAATTGTCGAAGACGATGGAGACTGTGGCCTTGGTGATTCCGGCCTGGCCCTGCTTGTAGACGAGTTCCTGGAGGTTGGAAGCCCTAACCTGCTGTAAATTGGTGATGCCGAGAACGAAGCAGATGGAATCGAGAATGTTCGATTTGCCTGAACCATTCAAGCCGGTGATAGCGTTGAAGAAGGGGTCGAAGCCCGGAACCACGGTGCGCGTCGCGTAGGACTTGAACCCTTCCAAGCAAATCTCCTTGATGTGCATCGCGGAAAGGGTGCGCAAAGCAAATACGGCTGCGTTTAGTTGAAGAAGGAAGAGTGGGTGAAAGAATTGGGAATTTAAATTCAAATAATAAAAATGAGTGTTTTGGGGTTTTGCTTTGTCCAGTGAGGTGTTGAAGCTGAGGAAGTAAATAGCACAAAGGCGGGAAATTTTTGGGAAATTCAAAATGAGGCTCCATTTCACTATTCTAGGTTTTGTGTATTCATAGATAATGAAATAAATTCAATTAATTATTAAATCATAATCATGTTAGATGTTAAGTGAGGTTTATGCACTCTAGTCATAACAAAACTTCTCATCAACTCAAACAAGATACTAAGGGTATAATTTATAAATTTCTCTAAAACAGTTAAATAGAAAGAAAATAGTATAAACTAATTTATAAATTTCTCTAAAACAGTTAAATAGAAAGAAAATAGTATAAACTAATTTATAAAAGATTATTTTATGTAATTAATTTTAATTTATAAAAAAAATTATTTCTTTATTACAACAATATACACCAAGAACTTTGTGTTAACACATACATTTAACCACATCTTTACTGTTATCATGGATAGATTATGTATTAATTTTTTGTTAAATCTTTTAATTAAATATTCAACATAATATAATTTTTCTTCTTTTTTAATCAAATTGAAATATAATATTTTTTTTAACTCTATTTTAGTTTTCTCTATTAATTTTATTTTTATACTTTAAAAATATTTATTTCTTATTACATTATTTATTTAAATAATTTTAATTTTCTATAATAATTTGTAATATTATTCTAAATTTTAAAAATAATTATCTCATATTTAATATTATGCTTTCAATTTATTATATAAAAACACATAAAAAATATACATTGTATTTTTTTAAAATTCTACAATTTAATATTATTTATAAATTATAATAAAAGTAAATTATAAAATATTAATATGTCTATAAATTATCATATTTTTTATATAATTAGTTTTATTTTTTATTTATTTTGATTCATTTTATTAAACAATTATTTTATATTTAATCAGATCTTAAATTTAAATTTTTATTATTAATTATATTAAAAAATTAATTGTTTTTTAATTTAATTATTTTTTAATCATTTAAATTAATCTTATTAATCTTTTATTTTATTTTTTTACTTTATTTGCTTTGATTTAAACACTTTTTTTTTCATTCCCTCAAATCTATAAGTTAAAAATACATAATTTATTAGAAACACATTTCTAAAATACTATTCAAAGTTATAGATAATAGTGTGCAAATCATAATTTTAAAACCAATATAAATTATTACTATTATTATTATTATTATTATGGAGTTGATAAAAGTTTGATATGAAAAAAGATTAGATGCCACAATTGCCACCTGGTCCTCCAAATAGAATAGAATATCCAAGAACATCTTGATCTCCATAATACTTAACACCAAAACAATTAGCATTGTCAGTGACTGCCTGTGACATAGCTTGATGAGGCCCTTGATTTCTTCTTGCTTCATCTTGGAAGGTGAGAAGCCTAAAATAAGAAGCATGAGAAGGAGTAAATTTATCTTCAGGAAAATGGCCAGATCCCATTGGAGGAGTAGGAGTACCAGGAGAGCTTCTTGATCTCCCACCCCACCCTACTTCATCCCCTGAACCCAGGTTTGAGAATAATGCAGCTGGAAAATACCCAATTGTCATATCATCTACACTTAACCACCAGTTATTCGATTCTATGTCCTGTACATGTATACCAATTGTTATTATTAACATCTCTAATTCTTAACTAAGTAGAATCATCAAAATTTTGTTTGTTGGGATCAAAATTTACCCGCACAATAGAAAATTGAGCCTCCACAGTTGGACCACCATATGTAGATGTTTTATTGGCCGGAGCACCAATGTAAACCTTTCTGTTCACCTGAACAAACCCTCTACACCGCATGTTGTAGCACCCTGTCTTGTGAAAATTATCTGACTGTTATTTTCCAAACATCCAACAAATCAAACCCATTTCAGAGATAACTTCAAAGATTATACCATTATTCAGTTAAACCAATAAGCATTATATATCTTTCCTTACCGTCCATGCTGAAAAAAAATGTGTTGCAAAATCACCATATAGTGCTGGAGCCACCTAATACCAATGTCAGAGATTCATTAATATCAGCAAATTAACCCAAATAGATAAATATAATATCAATTTTGTGGAAGAACAAAAAAAAAAAGAGTAATTGCATCAATTGAAACTCACATGCCATCCCGCTGTGATTCTGTTGCTGGTGTCTGATGGTCCATTCTGAATCCATATATGAGCAGCACTGATTTGATTCTTCTCAACTTTTGGATTATACACACTGCTTAATCCACCCACACCATAATAAGGACCATGAGAGTGTAAAAGTGATACTTCTGCAAGCTGCAAAATTCAATATATTCAAATAACTATGCAAACTCAAACATGTCATATAGAAATAATAATAATAATAATAGTAATAATAGTAATAATAATAATAATAATAATAATAATAATAAACATTTACCAGAGGAAACTTACATGAGTACCAGGGTTTTCTTGAGTCATGGTATGAAAATTTAACAAATTTTTTTCTGATATCAGATCACTCTTTGCTGCTCTTTGAATAGGAACTGTTCCTCTTGGACATTTTTTCTTGAGTCCAAATATAGTTCTAGCTGCTTTGTTTCCACTTCTTTTTCCAGTTGATTTTTGAAAACTAGGTTTCCTCTGTGATTCAGAAATTATAAGCAACATTCAAACTAATGAAAATTAACCATGTTTGAGAACGTTTTAAAGGAATGTACACCTGCAACTTGTGATCTTTTAGTAAAGGATGGTAAAATGCTGGTTGTTTGTTAATGTCAATACAATAAACGTCTTCATAATCAGCCTGTAGAATCCAAAATTATAATCAAGGACTCAAGATAAAAGGAAGAAGAAACATGCAATGATGTATAAGAAAGATATGAAATACATGAACATTCTTGACTGGAGTCTTGTCAATGATGTTTTCCAGTTTCAAATATTTGACTGGATGCCTGTTAACGATGGAAATTTGTTCCTCGGAGTGAAAATCTTCTTCCAATGTGTTTGGAATACCGATAGCAATGTGACTACTGCTACTCACCAAACACAAGACAAAGAGAAATATATGCACCATTTTTTTCTTTTCAGAATTCAATAGCAAATAGAGTTATCTCGATGATTAATCATCTTATATATACACAATTGAAAACCTTGATTTTCTCAATTGCATTACTTGTTTATTTTAGCAAAAATATCTTTAATCAGGTAGAAATGATTATGAGAATAATAACTTTCCATTGACTGGTAATATAACTGTATAGAAATAGTATAGACAATTGCCACATTTATTTTGACCAATTAAATTATTAAATGGATTCTTAAATTCTGGGAAGTTTTAATTATGATGATTATACGTATTCAAACATAATATCATTGACCACAGTTATTAAATAAACACATTTTAGAAAAATAAACAGAGACAAACTGTTTCATTGGTTGTCCAAATTTTTTTGTCGAACAGTTTCTGGTTTGTTTTCTTGATACTTTTGTGTGAGTGAACAAATAGTTTAAGAAGGAAAATACTTAAGTTACCTGCTGAAGTGATGTAAAACCTTATATTTTATTTAGTTTTTAAAATAGGTATTTAACCTTTTTTACCACTAATTTTTAAATAAAATTGATATTATTTTTTAAATGTTTTTTAAATAAACAAAATTTAAAACATTGAAATTGAAGATTTTTTATCATTCATTCAATTTTTTTAAAAACATCTTTGAATTATATATTTTAAAACTTATTTTTTTTTGTTATTTAAATTTTAGTCAATATATTTTTATGTAAAATAAAGAAAAAAATGTAACTTTTTTTAATATATAAAGAGACTAGTGTCATTTTATTACAAATGTAATATGGATTGATATTTTTAAAAAATAAAAAAATGTGTCTGCATTTGTTAAAAATATAAGATAGGCTGATGTTTTTTAAAAAAAATCAAGAATGTAATTGTAATTTAATTAAAAACTTAGAATATAAGTGAGTGTTTATTTTAAAATTTAAAATGATGTAAGTGTTATTTAGTATAGTTTTACGGAAAGTAAATGTAGTTTTTTCTGATAAAAAATAAATAAATTTTCGTTTGTAAGACCAAAATAGACACAAGTTCTGCAAATTTAAAATACATGTGTCATTTAAAGTAATATAATTACTTGTGAATACATATATGTTTGTTACCTAATAAAATAAAGGTTATTAAACAAAAATATCTACAATCATTACTACAATTTAAAAAAAAAACAGTTAAAATAATGTCATTATAGGAAGAGTTAAATTATATAACACTTCTATACATAAAAAAACCGTTGTAAAAAAAGTCATATTTTAAATAATAATATTTAAATATGATGTTAAAATTTATGATGTATTTATAATTAAATTTAAAAATGTATTATCATTATAAAGATTACATGAACAAATTTAAAGTACTGACATATTTTATTATGTAAAAAAATAATTATATTTGAATTTAAATTATAAAATTTAACGTTATCTTTATAATTATTAAAAAAAAATATTTAGGACGATAATTGATCTATAACTATAATTATTAATAAATAAATTTTGTTTTTTTTACAACTTTTTTGTATATTGATTTGCAATTTTACCCTTAATGTTCTTATAATTAAATTTCCAATTCATTTTTTTACATAATTTTTTATAATGTTTTTTAAAATGATTTCCTCCTTAAAAATCAAAACATATGTAATTTTTTAATTGTATAAATTATTTATTTTTTAAAATAAAAGGTTTTTTTTCTATCACTTGTACTCAAATAAACAATTTAGAAAAAATATATATAAAAGTTAAAATTTAAAATAAATAAACATTATTTGTATTTATTATTTAGATCTTAATAATTAATAATATAGTAAATGAGATAATTAATAAGCATTGATTAGAGTAAAAAATAATAAATTATCATTAATCATTGATGATATATTAAAAACCAATCCTCATTTTGTAAATATTAATTCAAAGTAACACTGATATAATTAATGTAATAAATAATATTGTATTTGTTAATAAGAAGTGAGGTTAGAATCAACATTCAACACCATGAAAGAAATATAAGATCAGGATCTCTCCCCCACACAATTTAGAATCCTTCAGATTGTGACAAAACGTGGCAATTGCCGGGCCAAACAAGCCATTAACAAAACTGAACCATTGGAAGATCAGCCACATCATACCAAAGACACATAATGATCACAATTCTTCAAGTAGTCATAACCATTCACTAATTTCCACACCCTTTTGCGTAAAGCTCAAAGCTTTGTGGCAGTTTCATCATTTGGACGAATGGGGGATGATGGAAAGAAGAACAGTGGAGATGGGGGGTTAGTGAAGGTGGAGCCAAAACCCAGCAATGGTTTCACCTCAAAAGTGATTGATTTGTTGGAGAAGCTGGTAGTGAAGTTTATGTATGACTCTTCACTGCCCCATCACTATCTCACTGGTAATTTTGCTCCTGTGACCGAGACCCCTCCCACCAAGGACCTTCCTGTCAAAGGGCACCTCCCGGTTTGCAACGTTCTTCTTTCTTTGTTGAATTTATGCATTATTCTATTCAATTGAAGTGTACTCATGCTGTATAGATTGATTCATATTGTTTAATGTTATCCAATCACAGGTTTCGTCACGTAGGGGATGACTGTTGTCTTTTGTTATAGTTATTTGAAAAATCTTAATCAGGACAATATTTGACTAGTTCATAGATAGTGTTAAATTTTTACTCTTGACAGTGTATGAAAATTTAACCCGAGTTGTTGACCATCTGAGGACATGTGTAATTTAAGGTTTTGCAATCCCGGTTTTATCAGTAGACAAATGCGGCCGCAATTGTATTCACAGACACGCCAAAAGCTTTGTGAATGCAGCTGAAATCACGGTTCTGGACTGTTTTTAAAAACCTTGGTGTTATTGTATTTAATTTTTTCTGTTGTGGTGTTATGGTCTTAGTTTTTCCCTCTGAATTTGAAGTGGAATACTTAGATAGGTAAATTAAAGAATATAGATGAATAGAGGAGAGAGAAAATGAAAAGGAACAATTTTGATTCTCAAACATGGTGTAAAGTTTTATTTGATGAAGATCTCGTGATTGTAAGAATTACCGTGTCTAGATTTTCCTAATCTTCCATCACCATGGAAGTAGTCCATGTCCATCTTTCTGGCAGTTCTTTGATTTTCATAACTTCACTTGTATAATGCTGCTTTATGTCTCTGTTTAAATGCAAGACCTCAATATGCTACTGTTCATGAAAAATGTGTAGTATATATTTGGTTTTCTGACTTCTGTCCTTGAAATTTGTAACCAGTGCGATTCACTGACATTTTTCTGCATTACACACTGTCTGTCGCTAAAGGTCTAGAGTCTAGAGCAGTATTAGGTCTTGCCACTCATTGTCTACCATTTTAAGTGTCTTGCAGGATTGCTTGAATGGGGAGTTTGTCAGAGTTGGACCTAATCCGAAGTTTGCTCCTGTAGCTGGATATCACTGGTAAATTTTTATTTATTTGTATATATTGAACTCTATACTATGAGATATTGCACAAATATTGGCAAAAAGGTGCATTTCTTGGTAGCTTACAAGTATATTAAAGTGGAAATTTTTTAGTTACGCTGTATGAAAAAATGTGTTCTTAAAGTGGAATGTGAAGCTTATACTATGCTTTCTCTCGCTGTTTTTGTAGGTTTGATGGAGATGGGTGTGTGCTTCTCTTCCTATATGCAAACATAAATTTCTTTCAAATTTGTTATAGATGAGTTTTTTGTGTCAATAGACTAGCAATATTCTGGATCTTATTGTTTAGCATTGAACATCAATCAAACTCTTAAAACTTCTTTTGCAGAATCTCCATTTTGCATTTTTTTTATATCCATTTTCATTGACCTGTAAAATTAGTGAGCACGGATGATACTTAGTGTTAATTTGGATCAGTGATTGCAATTTAAATTGTATAATTGCCCCAGTTCGCTTAGATCTGCATGGCTAGATTCTCTTCGATGTGGATGTTCGTATTCTTTCTGTTTCATATTGTCTGTCTCAATTTTTGGAGTGCAGCTTATATATTTATTGGATACCTTCGCACAATGTCAATTGGTTTCAAGTTGAGATTTAACATATATATGTCTTTTCTTTTCTTGCTTCATTATGTTTTAAACATTTTGTTCAAAAACATTCATGTATCTTCTCTCAACAACTCATGTTTTTAGGGAGATGGTTCTTGACAATTGCAGTCAAGATACTCATTATGTTTGTTTCAACTTTTTTTCATCTCATAGGTCGTTCCTTACATTTTAATTTTTGTTCATTTTAGTCCCTTAATTTAAGATAGGAATACTAACAAAAAAAATTCAACATGACATGTTACAAAATAATTTGAATGGAGGTTCACCATAAGAACATACTGAAAATGATGAAGTAAAAGGGACATACTGAAAAAATAGGTACTAAATTGAACTTAGAGTGAAAGTATAGGGTCCAAAACCTTAACTAAGCCTAAACAATATAATGTTCTAGATAGATAACAAAGCATCTTCCATACAGATTTCAGTTCACTTGTTTTGTGAATCAAACACTGGTTCCAATTATACATTCACTTCTGACTTTCTGCATCTCACATAGTGGCAACTTCACTGTTTCTGATTTTCTCAAGTTTTGAGCAGTCAATTTACACGGCAAAAACTTCATATGTATCAATGAATTGCAGAATGATCCATGGTTTGCGCATCAAAGATGGAAAATCTACTTATGTTTCACATTTTGTGAAAACTGCTCGTCTTAAACAAGAAGAATACTTTGGACGGTCCAAATTTATGAAGGTATAAAAAGAAACTGAAAGACTCGAAGCTCACCGAAAGTTTTACTAGTCTTTGAATTTAGAAATACTTTGTTTTAGATTCCCTAGACAAACGTAACTTCTTATTTCATTTTCAGATTGGAGATCTCAAGGGTCTATTTGGACTTTTAATGGTTAACATACATATGCTGAGAACTAAATTGAAAGTGCTGGATGTTTCTTATGGATCTGGAACGGGTAATTTGTGCTATACAGTTGTCTTCAAATTTAAGGTCCCAGGAATTTTTTACATTCTGCAGTTTTGTTCAATACCATTGAAATAGTATTTTGTAATGTGTGTTCCATTTGAAGATTCCACTATCGTGGCATTATGGATGGGCTTCTTAGTATTGATACTTATATATATTACAAGCATGATGTGTGAATCATTCCATTGCATGCATGCTTGCATAAATTTTGACAATCACAGACACGTACACACTCTCTCTCTCTCTCTCACACACACACACATTTTATTGACTGGAGAATGCATTACCTTGTACTTAGCTTTTGCTGATTATTGATACACATGTATTGGTGAAATCGTTTGGTGGTTTTTGACTGGGAATATTAAGCTCTTGTGTATGACTGGAAGTGCTGAAACTAACTTGCATTCATACTCTAATTTCTACCAGCTAATACTGCTCTCGTATATCACCATGGGAAACTTCTAGCACTCTCAGAAGCAGATAAACCCTGTAAGTACCATTTGTGTCCGCTTTTTTTTATGACTGAGATAAACTTGTTGATTAAATCTGAAATGCCATGAACTGTATAGAACAAAGAGATTGAAAAGATTCATCAGTTTATGAACTTAAGTGGAGGAAGTAACCAAAGTCCAATTAGTGACTTGCTAGTTAGAGCAGTTTTTACCTCTTATCTAGTCTATGACTGAAATAGTTTCATTTTGAATTTTGCAGATGCTATTAAAGTTTTTGAAGATGGTGATTTGCAAACACTTGGAATGCTAGATTATGACAAGAGATTGGGCCACTCCTTCACTGCTCATCCAAAAGTTGACCCAATTACTGGTGAAGCCATCTTCAAATGAGTGATTAAGTTGACTTATTTAATGGAATAGTTATTACAACAAACACATATTCTGTATGCAGGGGAGATGTTTACATTTGGCTATGCACATACACCACCATATATCACATACAGAGTAATTTCAAAGGATGGTTTTATGCATGAGCCTGTACCCATAACAGTATCAGATCCCATCATGATGCATGACTTTGCCATCACAGAGAATTACGCAATATTCATGGATCTTCCTCTGATTTTTAGGCCAAAGGTATTGCAGGTGTTTTTGCTCTTATATTCCGGCAAAAGCTTATATTGCAGGTTTGGAGCTTCGTTTTTGTGTGTATGTGGGGGGGCTGGAGGAGGGTTGTGTCAAGGATGGTATTATAATAAACAATCTACTGACTTTGCACATCAATTGGTGACAATTAATGACTTTGGCATTGTGGATTGAAACTCGTTTTTCAGGAAATGGTGAAGAAGAATACATTGATATTCTCATTTGATTCAACAAAGAAATCCCGATTTGGTGTGCTACCTCGGTATGCTAAGGATGAAAAGTATATTAGATGGTTTGAGCTACCAAACTGCTTCATATTCCACAATGGTATGTTTGTTTATTTTGTTTCTCCTTAAATAATATGTTCATTGATATTCTGCAACGATACATTTTTGTACAGATTTGACAGTCCATAATTGAAGTGCAATGCTTGTTTTTAGTCCCTGAAAATAATCTCCTTTTATTTATGGAAATGTGTGTAAGGAATTGAATCAATTGTATGTTTATTTCACCGAAAGACAAATTACACACTACGGTATCAGAAATTCGAGAGTCTGATCTCTCCTGTCCAGTCTATAATTCTTCTTCCCCCCCCTTTCTTCTACTAACAAAATATTGCTACAATTAACAGAATTAGTCTTTCTTTCTTCTGGTATATACATGCTTAACTGGGGGTTTACTAACAATACTCCCCCCCAAAAGTTTCACCTTGTCCTCAAGGTGAAATTGTGCCTGAATAACGTCAAATGGTTCCCAGGTTGCTTCAAAAGTAGGAAGATCCTTCCAATGAATCAAAACTTCAACGATGCCTGAATTACTTGTGCGAACTTCTAAGACTTCCATTGGTCCCACTTGCAATTCAAATTCTTCCAATAACATAGGAGGTAAGGGTTGAGGAGCGATGTTAGGGCCAATAGCTTTCTTGAGAAGAGAGACATGAAAATCTGGGTGTATTTGGCTATCACTAGGCAACTGCAACTGATCCCACCCTTTTAACCACCTAATAAGGGCCATAGAACCTGGGACTTAATTTCTCATTCATCTTCCTCGCGAGGGATCTCAACCTATAAGGTTGTCTTTTAAGATAGACCCAATTTCCCACATCAAATTGGATGTCCCTTCTGTGTTTATTTGCAAACTTCATTTGATCTTGTGCCTTCACTAGAGTAGTTTTTAAATCGTGTAACATAACATCCCTTTCCTCTGTCAGCCGGTTCACCTCTTCAATGACTGACGATATGGTGGTACCCTTGAGGAGCAGTGGTGAATCACGACCATACAGGGCCTTGAATGGTGTAAGTTTGGTGGAGCTATTGTAATTTATATTGAACCAAAATTCTACCCAATTTAACCATTTAGGCCATTGCTTGGGTTTCCTCCCTGTTAAATGTTAGAAAAGTAGTTTTAGATCAAGAGGGGGGGTGAATTGATCTTTGAAAGTTTTTCGCAAATAACAGATTATCTAATTCGAAAATTAAGTTTAAAGATATGTTCTTGAATCACAAAGCAATCAATCAAAATAAGCGCAGCAACTGAATTTAAAGGAGAGAAAGGTTAAGAAAGATATCACCGGTATTTTATACTGGTTCACCCAATACCAGGGCTACGTCCAGTCTCCAGCCAAATTCCAGCTGGGTTCCACTAGATCAAATGTTTTACAGATTTACAATCTTACACTTAATCTACCACAAGAACCAAATTCCAGTTCCTGCACTCAACCTCTCACCAAGAACCAAATTCCAGTTCTTGATAACTTCTACAACCAAATTCCAGCTGCAGAGAAACCAGTGCCCAAATTCCAGGCACCAACACCTAACCTTTCACCAAGAACCAAATTCCAGCTCTTGATAACCTCTACAACCAAATTCCAGCTGTAGAGAAACCAATGCCCAAATTCCAGGCACCAACACCTAACCTCTCACCAAGAACCAAATTCCAGTTCTTGATAACCTCTACAACCAACTTCCAGCTGCAGAGAAACTTGTGCCCAAATTTCAGGCACAACACAGTACAAAAGAATGAAAAAGAATTGACAAAGAAGAAACTAGAAAGCTCAAACCAGTTTATCCAAATCTGCAGAGAGTTTCTTCTTCTAAAGAATGCAAGTTGCCTCAAGAAAGATTTTCAAAAGAACTTCTAAAAAATTGTTGCGAATCTTTCTTGAAAAGAGTGCTAAGGTTTGCTTGAATGATTGCTCAAGGATGTGTAAAAACTGATGTTCAATGTATGTTTAAAAAGTTCAAGCCAAACTGTTTTTAAAGAGTATTTTCAAAACTGCTGCATTAATTAATCTGTTAAAAGTTTGTTTTAATCTGTTGAAATAGCCGTTTCAATCTGTTAAAAGTCCTTTCAATCCATTAATACGTTCTTGATTCTTTAACAGATTTGTTTTAGCTGATTCAACAACGTTTATATCAGTTAAAACACTTTACAAAAAATCTTCTAAGTTAATTCAATCGATTCTTTCGCGTTTTAATCGATTGAAATACTGCAAACTTTCTTATAAAACTTTTCAAGTTATTTTAACTGATAAACCATAGGTTTTAATCGATTAAAACTCTGTACAAAATTTTTCTAAGTTGTTTTAATCGGTTGAAATGCGTTTTAATCGATTGAAACAGATCTGATCGGTCATAATTCAATTCTGATCGATCATAACCGACTCTGATCGGTCCTAACTGCATTCTGATCGATCATTCTGACCCTTTAGGTGATTTTAATAGATTGAAACGTGTTTTAATCGATTGAAATAAATTCTGATCGCTCATGTTTCAAATTTGATCGGTCATAATGGGTTCTAAAAGGTTTTAATCGATTAAAAGCAATTTGTATCGATTAAAATACTGTAAAAATACTTCTTTGAACATTCTAAGTGATTTTAATCGGTTCTTTCAAAACTATATCAGTTAAAAACATTATTAAGAAAGCTTTTGTCAAAATGCTTTGTTTTTAATTGTTTAAAACGATTTTAGAGGCATTTTGCAAAATCATTTAAGTGAAGAAACTTCATGCAGCAGAAAAGATAAAGTGGTTTTACCTAAGCATTCTGTTAGACACACTAATCCTCTAACTCTTTTATCTGAGTGACTTGTTGACCACTGCAAAGTAGCCTTTTGACTTCATCTTTGACTTCATCAAATCAATGAGATCTTTGCCAATGTATTTCAATAAGATCTTCATCATTTTCATTAAACATCTTAAGTAGGTTTCCAAACATTTATTCACAATTTCAGTTTGGTCATTAGACTGAGGATGGTAAGCTATACTAAATTTTAGTTTAGTACCTGCCCTTCTGAATAGTTCAGTCCAGAAATTACTAAGGAAGATCTTGTCTCTATCTAAAACAATAGTAGATGGGAACCCATGCAACTTGACTATTTCCTTCAAAAAAATATCTACAATATCATGAGCAGTATAGGGGTGGCATAAAGGCAGAAAATGAGCATACTTAGTTAGTCTGTCAACTACCACTAGTATACTATCCTTCCCTTGAACTTTAGGAAGTCCCTCAATAAAATCCATAGAGATGTCTGACCAAACTTGAGTGGGAATGGGTAGAGGTTGCAAAAGACCTGCAGGTGTTAGAGTCTGGTACTTATTTTGTTGGCAAACCGTACAAGCTGCTACAAACTGTTGGATATCCTTTCTCATCCCTTCCCAATACACAAACGTTGAGATCCTTTTATAAGTCTTGAAAAAACTAGAATGACCACCCATTGTTGAATTGTGAAATTCAGATAACAACAGAGGAATGCGTGGGGAACCTTTCGGCAAAACCAACTTCCCTCGATGCATCAATTTGCCATTTTGGATAGAAAATCCAGGATGGGCATTAGGATCCTGTAGGATCGCTTGAGTAATTAGTTTGAGCTTATGGTTAGCATATACCTCATCTATCCAATCTTCTAAAGTTGGAAACTGTACAGCAGAAATGACTGCATAGATCATCTTCCTGGATAGTGCATCTGCCACCCTATTTTCAGTTCCTGGTTTATATTTAATTTCAAAGTCGAACCCAATGAATTTGGAAGTCCATTTAAACTGCTCCTCATTCAGTAGATGTTGATCAGTTAGAAATCTAAGACTCCTCTGATCTGTTTGAATAATAAAATGTCTTCCCATCAAATAATGTCTCCATTTCTGTACCGCCATGACTATTGCCATTAATTCCCGCCCATAAACTGACTTCATCTGGGCTCGATCTGACAATTTCTGACTAAGGAAAGCCACTGGCCTGCCTTCTTGCAGTAAAACAGTTCCTAATCCTTTACTAGATGCACCAGTCTCTATTATAAAAGTTTTCGAAAAATCTGGTACTGTCAAGACTGGTAATTCAGCCATGGCTGTCTTTAATGTGTCAAAAGCTTCGTGAGCCTCCTGATTCCAATGAAAATTATCTTTCTTCAACAACTGTGTCAATGGTATGACAATGCTGCTATAATTTTAACCTTCTATAATACCCTGTAAGGCCTAGGAATCCCCGCAACGCCCTGACATCCTTAGGATACGGCCAGGACAACATGACCTCCAATTTTCTTGGATCTGCTGTCACTCCTTCTGCAGCAATGATATGCCCCAAATACTCCACTTGTAACTGGCTGAAACTACATTTCTTCTTGTTAACAAACAATTTATGATCCTCCAATACTCGTAAAACTGCTCGAAGGTGTGTCTCATGGTCCTTTTCCCCCTTGCTGTAGATTAATATATCATCAAAGAAAACTAACACAAATTTTCTTTAAAAGGGCCGTAGTACCTCATTCATAAGAGCTTGGAAGGTTGAAGGAGCATTCATGTGTCCGGAAAGCAGTCTTAGGAATGTCCCTTTCTTTAATTCTGATTTGATGATAACTGGCTTTAAGGTCCAATTTAGAAAAAATGGTGGCTCCACCTAACTCATCCAGCAGTTCATCAATCATAGGAATTGGGAATTTATCCGGAATTGTAATCTTGTTTAAAGCTCTATAATCAACACAAAAACGCCACTCTCCATCTTTCTTAACCAAAATAATTGGACTGGAATAGGGACTCACACTGGGTCTTATAACACCTGAATCTAGCATATCATTTACTAATTTCTCTATTTCCGTCTTTTGACAATGGGGATACCTGTATGGCCGTAAATTTGGAATATCAACTCCATCCTTCAGCACTATTGCATGATCTTGTCTCCTGGATGGTGGTAAGCTTGTAGGTACCTTGAATATTCCCTCAAAATCCTCCAAAATCAGCTGTATTCCCTGTGGAAGGGTATTTTCTATAGCAACAGCATCTTGAAGTTTTTCTTTATATTCCAAGAAAAACCCTTGTCCTTCATGCCGTAAAGCCTTAAGTATTGCCTTGAACGAAGCTTCCGATCGAGATAATGCTGTTTCCCCTTTTAGCATAAAGGTTCCAGTACTAGTTGGCAGCTTTAATGTGAGATCTTTGAAATTTGCTGTAATGTCTCCCAATTCTGCTAACCATTCCATTCCCAAAACGACATCCACATCTCTTAATTCAAATATGAAAAAATCCTGCTGAATTTTCAAACTCGGAATTTGAAGTATCAATTGTTGACAAACTCCACTACATTTGATTTTTCTTCCATCTCCAACTTCTACGGTATAAGCTGTAGTTTCTGTCACCGGGAGCCCTTTTTCCTTCACCAAATTGGATGATATAAAATTGTGGGATGCTCCATAATCCACTAACACCGTCACCTTTTCTCCATGAATCTCACCCCACATTTTGATGGATTTCTTGGAAGTTAATCTAGTAATGCTGTACATGGACAGTTGTAACACCTTATGTTCCCGCTCCTCTTTGTTCTGGCTGTCACTATCTTTCTCCTCTCCTTCCTCTTCTATACCTTCTTCGCTCAAAATTAATACTTGTAACTGTTTATTTTTACACACATGTCTCGGTCCAAACTTCTCATCACATCTAAAATACAATCCCCTCCTCAACTTCTCTTGATATTCCGCATCGGTCAATTTCTTGAACCCTTTTCCTCTGAAAGTCCCCGCCGTTTTGCTGCTGTTGGCTTCCGTTGTAGAATAGGCTCCAATACTCTCTGTTTGAATTGGGTTTCTTGTTCCCGCTTCCCATGTTACTGTTCTTGATGAAGGGTAATTTTTTGATACGCTTCCTCCTCTACCATTCCACCCTTTTCCATTGCTTAGTATCCAGTTCTTCTCGTCAATCCTCTGTGCGTAATCCATTAACTCAGGTAAAGAACCTAGCCGATGTAATTTCAGTTCTGCTTTTACCTCCTCCTTCAATCCATTCAAGAAAATGCCTTTCAGATATTCTGGGTCAGTCCCCTTTAATGGCCTCGCATACAACTCAAATTTCTCCCTATATTCTTCCACCGAAGTTGTTTGCTTGAGACTCAGCAAGAGTTCGAATGGATTCTGTGCCATCGAAGGTTGAAATCTCCTTATCACTGCTGTACGAAATTCTTCCCAAGTTGGATTCACGGTGCAGAATTCCCACCATTGAAACCATATTAAAGCTTTCCCTTCCATTGCTACCATCACTGCCTGTAATCTTTCTTGCTCCAAGACTCCTTTCAAGTTGAAATATCTTTCCACACGATTCACCCACCCATATGCGTCCTCTCCCGGGAAAATCAGAATCTCTAATCTCCTCCATCGATCCTCTCTTGTTTTGCTTTTAGAACTGGTTCCTTCTCCATTGCTTCCATCAACGTCATTGTCGCTGACTCCTGATTGGTTGCTTAATTGTTGCATGTTATGATTAAGATTCTGCATCATCTCTAAGAGATTCTCAAAACCCTTCTCCAGGTTGTCTAATCTGGTCTCCATTCTTGTCTGAACCATGAAAATCTCCCAAGAATGGAGAGTTGTGATACCAATTGTAAGGAACTGAATCAATTGTATGTTTATTTCACCGAAAAGACAAATTACACATTACAGTATCAGAAATTTGAGAGTCTGATCTCTCCTGTCTAGTCTATAATTCTTCTTCCCCCCTCTTCTGCTCTCTATCTAAATATTTACAATTAACAGCCCATAACAGAATTAGTTTGTACAACTAATCTGCTAATAGAATATTGCTACAATTAACAGAATTAGTCTTTCTTTCTTCTGGTATATACATGCTTAACCGGGGGTTTACTAACAATGTGGTGTTTGTTCTTCAAAACAGTAAATAGTAGCCTATCCAGTATATGTTTCTTCTAGCCACAGTGACGGATGTCCTTAGACTGTATATCATGTAATGTCAACATTTTTTAACAATATTTGCAGTAACATGCAAATTGCATAAAGTTGTCCATAGTAATATACTTAAAAAGTTTGAATTCAAAAGCAGGTTTAATTTGTGCTTTGAATTCTTTATTTCTATAGACTTCTCCGTTGTAAAATTTCATGGCATATATATTTTTTTTAAGCCAATGCTTGGGAGGAGGAAGATGAAGTTGTTCTGATCACATGCCGCCTTCAGAATCCAAATTTGGACAATGTCGGTGGGACTGTCCAGGAAAAGCTTGAAAATTTCTCAAATGAGCTGTAAAAGACCCAGTCTTACATGTAAATTTTGGAGATAGAAAGAGTTTGCTGCATAATTGTTCTTTATTTATGGTAATTGAACTCTTTCCAGGTATGAAATGAGATTTAACATGAAAACTGGCGAAGCTTCTCAGAAGAAACTATCAGCATCTACTGTAGATTTTCCTAGAGTGAATGAAAGCTACACTGGCAGGTAACCTCATTCTTTCCATAAGTCAAAGTACTCAAAAACTTGTGAATTAGTCTATCTCAGTCATATTTTAGTTTGATTATTGTAATCTTTCATGGTCACATTTACACTTTCATTTCATCAGAAAGCAGCGATACGTGTATGGAACCACATTAGACAGCATTGCAAAAGTTACTGGTATTATTAAATTTGATTTGCACGCCGAACCAGATCATGGGAAAACAAAACTCGAAATTGGAGGAAATGTTCAGGGTCTCTATGAATTGGGACCAGGGAAGTTTGGCTCAGAAGCTGTTTATATCCCGCGTGTCCCTGGCACCGAGTCTGAAGAAGATGATGGATACTTGATTTTATTTGTACACGATGAAAACGCCGGGTATCACCTCTGCACACTTGAAGGATTGACTTCTATGAACCAATTTTTAGGTTTAAATACCTTTTTGTCCATACAAATATACTAATTCTAACTTCTAATCCTTATACATGTTTTGCTCATGATGTTTCTAATATTCAAATCTACCCTTTTTCGTCTTTCTATTACATAAACACTTATCTAATTCCATCATCTGATGTTGTCACAAGACAAATGTCAAATGGAAATAAGGAAGTATTTGTGTAATGAAAATCGAACAGAGGGACAAAAGGGAAGGTTGGGACATTACAAAATCATAGAAAAAATTATAAGGAACATAATGAGAAGTTTTCTTTGTGGAGATGAAAGGGTATATAAACCTTATTTTATATATGAATCAGTTGTAATTATGTTTTCTTGTGTCCTATTTTAGTGATTGAAAGCTAACATGAATTCAAATTTCAAAACTGCAGAAAATCATTTGTGCATGTGATTGATGCAAAAACAATGTCAGCAGATCCTGTTGCAGTGGTGGAATTGCCCAACAGAGTTCCATATGGTTTTCATGCCTTCTTTGTGACAGAGGTTTGTGTTGGTTCATATATTTCTACATTTCATGTCTTCCATTTTAGGTTTAAGAGAATGTTACTGATTATTATTATTGTTTCTCTTTGGGCAGGAACAATTGCAAGAACAGGCAAAACTGTGATAATGTGTTGGCAGCCTCACTGTATTGTGTTCCCTCAGTCTTTGTATACATCTTTCTGCAAATAATGGGATGTACTAAATATTTTCCAGTATCACAATAAACCAATGTTTACAAATCAAATCGTGCGTGGATAAAGACACTGATTAGTGATCTACTAATTAAATCGATAATGATCAAATATTATTTTAATTTTAATATAATATTATGTTAAGCAATATATGTGTGTGTAAAATTTAAGTACAATCATTGCATTTTGGGTTCAAAACCTTTTAAATAAAATTACATTAATCATTGATAAAAATGAATATTTCATACTGGTAAGATTATAGATTAAAGAAATATAATCAATTTTAACAAGAGATACTAATATGAAAATATTTTTAATTATTGATAATTCTTTATGACACGTTACCAGCAGATAAAATTAACATTAATTAAACTTACATATATATTTTTCAAATTTTAAAAGTCATTTGAATTAAAATAAAATTCAGCTTGATTCAATTTTAGTTAAAAAAATCCGATTACAGATTTTATAATTTTTATCATTATAAAATTATTAAACATATAATAAGTAATTATAAAATTAAACATATTATAAATTTTTATATATAATTAATTATAATATTCATCATGATTTTAATGTATTTATATATATATTTTTTTATATTTTAATTTTAACCATATGTTATAATTACAATTTAATTTAAATTAACTTCTTATTGTAAAATAAAAAATCAAACTGATTTTATAATTTTTTTAGTCTAAAAAATAAAAATAAAAATAAAATCAATTTTGATTCGGAACACTACTAGAAATAATAATTAAATTTCGACCCATGACCTTTGAGGCTATCGCCTGGATTCGGATTTGGAATTTATAAATCTGGGTTCAAGTTGGGAGGACCAAAGTATAAATTAAACTAAATTTATGAACAGAATAAATAATCATTACGCAAATTGATTCAACTTCTCCACTAAAATCTGATTCCTATTCAGCACTTGCCACTCGAATAGGATGCAACAAGTTCATACGGAAACACCAATAATGAGTCATCAATTTCATATGCAAACACGTGTACACAATCATCAATTATAAAATCATTACTGAATATATGCATAAAGCATCAATTGAGCATAATAATGTGCAAGGAAATATAGGACAAAATAGAGAATAGTTGTTTAAGATTTTGTGGAGAGCATATGTCACACATGTCAGTACACAGTTTTGTCAATCTTCACACAGTTTAGAACATAAAAAAGTACTTAAACCAAAGTGATTTTTTCTTTTCTTTCTCTCATCCATTTTACAAATGAACTTGTAAAGAGAAATAAAAGCAATGGGAGAGACCAAACAAGTAATAGAGTAGACCGTGACACTGGTCACACCACTTAACTGAGCCAAGAATGATTTGCCTTCAATACAGCATCATAAGTTGGATGAGATTAAGCCCTTCTTCACCTGCAAAATATGAATCTCATATGAGTCTGCAGAGAAATTCAACTAAAGCTTAGTATATAACAGCAGACAAAACCTACTTCTATTAGTTAAACAACTCAGAACATATTCTATGTGGGGACTGTTTGATTATACTTTTATTTAAAGCCCTTTTACGAGTAAAAAATAAAAAGAAAAGATGAAATAAGTTTCCCCATAAGTTAAAATTAGCTTATAGCATAAGTCAATATGTAAAAACTCTTATAACTTCTCTAAATTCTTATTTTTAAGATAAGCTAATTTTAACTTCTGATGAAACTCATTTCAAATTTTTTTCTCGTGTAGAAATGCTTATGGAAAATCTGTCAGAACAGATCCTATGTGAAGTCAGTTACATGGATCACAATGTAGGGCCTGTCCAACAATGAGTAGGGCTTAAATCAAACTTTTAAGAGACTTACTCTAAATGGAGAAGTCTTTATAAAAAAGGGATGGCAAATAATTTTTTATTGGTGAGTTCAAAGTTTGAGCTTTAGTAATCTTATTCTTGAGCCTGCCCTGATCATATTGCTATTCAGCTCTGTTAAATGACCAAGTTTCAACTAAACCTTAGTATATATATATATATATATATATAATTTTTTTTTGTGGTACCTAACAATTGCTGTATGGCAGGGGGAAGTGTTATTTGAAAGCCCCAACAGGGTCTCTCTCTTTACCAAAGTAGTCTCCCTCCTTTTTCCTATTCACTTGTGAATGGTATAGTGCTGTAAGACCATTCCCATTATGGTAAACATTGTTGAAAGTCTGCACTCTGTGCATGTCCTGAACCACGTTTGATGAGCCTAGATTCTCATTGTTGGTGAGCATATGTTGAGTGTTAAGTGAGTTTGTGGAGGGGTTTGCACCACTATTGTTGCCTTTGTCAGAAGTGACATTAGAACTGTCATTTTTGAGCTTTTTTGTGTTAAGAAAGCGGCCGCCGTTGCCTCTTGCCCTTCTCATGGCGTGTAGATGCCGGGATTCATGGAGGTATGGCTGTAAGAAATGGATGAAACAGCTGAGGCAATGACATTGACCAATTTTATAACAATGCAAGAAAGTGAGATAAAACTATATGTACGCAAAACAATTACAAACACCTTGAGACATGGTGAAACTGACAACAAAATCAGGTAATTTGGATCCTGATTGTCTAGAGGAAGAAATTTGCTTTAGAGAACAAAGCAATAACCATTGATGAGAAAATCAATGATTGATATTACATACACATACATGACAAATCACCCATGTGTTAGAATATCAATGGTTATTGGTTTTCTCATCAACAACTGTGATCACTGTACTTCTACTTACTTTAGAGGAATCAAATCCCAGAAATTAGAAACTTTTTTGCCAATTACTTTAAGAAAATCATCTGCCAGAAACCAATGATAGACACAAAACCAGTCTACTCAACTAGATTGCTTGGATTTTTCTATTTAATATTTAATAAAAAACTGTTCTTAATCGAATTATTCACTAAATGACTCCTCTTCTACCCATAATTGTAAATTTTGAAAGCAACAAATCAAATTTCCTTCCAAAGCAATTTTGGACATGTTAAGCATGGATGGATACATTCCAGAAAACAATTCCAGGAATATCAGAACAATAACAATGAATTTGGATTTGAAGGTCATCTATATGACTGTCTGCTAGTGGCAAGAAAAGTATTACAAGAATAAAGGATTTCATGACAAAATCAATGTATATACCATGCATTTTTCATTTGTGTCTTCTTAGAACAGGAAACCACCTATTACACATATAAAACTGTTCAGTTCCCTTTCACTTGTAGCTTATAATCTTTTAGCCAAGATGGTTCTAATCATCAATTCCTACATAAATCTTACAGTCAAGTAAAACATATTTTGGGAGTTGGAACTGTTATAATTTCCTGATAGTGAAAATTCCAAAAGTATTTTGAACACACAGAATTTTACACATTACTTCCTTCGAAACATTCTCATAAATTTTCTACTGATATAATTATTCATTTGGCTTCTCTTTGATATGCTTCCTTTCTAAGGGTTTTATTCTAACATACACCAAAGATACTGAAAAGATGTTATATTTGGGAGTTTAAAATACATTGATTTGAACCCTGCTGCTTGTTGCATCACATAGAAACAAAGCAGGAAATGGAATTAATATTCCATTTTTTTATCAGATAGCCACAAGAATCAGACATAATAGAAAGCATAATAACCAAAGAAATCCTGAGAATACAACAAATATCATAGAATAACATCAGCAAGTCAACATATAATTCAAGACAAGATAAATAAAATTTCCTAAATCTATATTGCTACTAAGAAGGTAAAAAGATCATCACTCACAAGAATGAAATACAAAAGAAATAGAAAAGCATAAAAAAAATCCCTTCCATGGAAAATATTGAACCAAATCTACGGAAACCTTTTCATATCCAACATGAAGACGTTGAACGCATAAACCTAATCTAACAGGAACCATTCTCCTAAATCAGTTTAAATTTTACAGTTAATTTTTTTAACTCTGTCTCATTCTAATTCTTTTGAGGATAGTAGACCTTTCCTCTTAGCTGTAGGATCCCCTTCCACAATAAGTTGAACATCAACCATACCTTTCTGTTTTTAATTACTTTCTTTTCAAGCTCGGCCTTAGCACGTGATTGTCTTCGCCTCAAAATTCCATGATACTGCTTTGCATTAACATAAACAGGCTCCTCTTCCATTTCAAGTGGCAAAGGCATTCTAGCCTGATGCATTCCATACAATTGAGGGTTTATCTAGCATCATACCAATAGCTGTTAGGACTATCCATAAAGTAGTATTGCATTTACTTGGTTCAACGAGAATATTAAAAGTCATAAGAAATCTCAGGAAAAAGAGTGAAAGGAAAAGGAGGCTGAATTAAAATTTTGATGCAGAAGTAATACTCTTATAGAACAAAATTAATGACACACAATCATGAAAAGATGTGCAAATATTTTTTTTACAAAAAGTTCATACCAAAAAGAAAATGAATTATATTAATTTGCATGCTCAATTTATAAAGCTAAAAATTAATATATCATTACTTAAACATTTTTAAACCATACTCAGAAGAAAAGAAAAGAAAATGTATGAGATTTTCATAAATACTGTGCAAAAAATTGCAAGCTATCATACCATAACTTGTTGCCTGTAAGTAGTCAATATTTGACCATACTGTGCATCTGAATATGGAGATGCTAAAACCTGCATCACATATTGAGGAAGCTTATAATCTTAATTTTTACACCCTAAAGATATACAAAAAATTTTACATACATGGGAGGGATTAAGGAGCTATAAACTCACAACTACAAATTAAAGGCTGTGCAGAGTGTGACAAAAGTTCTCTGTGCCTAAACATCTTACAAAAAGTAAGTTTAAAGGTCTTACAACTGAATGACCAACAAATTCCGAATGTAGATTTGGAGCAAGGTGTTTGTCCATGGTAAATGGGATTGAAGACAGGTCATGTTTGATGTTTTGGTACTCTTTAGCGCCACCGCCACCTGAGGCCAAAGAGAAACTTATCAGCATAAATTATATTCATATATAATGCTGATACATGTGGAGCGATACCAAATAGAAGTAATTTTTTGAAACACAATTTCCTCATTTTTTAACACAGAATCTATTGTCAGTAAATTTCCTTTGAAAAATTACTTGTTGTATGCATAGAAGTTTCCCTGCACTTAAAATTATTAGAGCTAACCCCCAATTTGAAAGACATAACAAAAGTCCAAGTGCTGTCCATCAACCAATCGTCTTTCATTCCCGTGGATCACTGAATTATCTCAAGAATTAAACTCTTCTCCATTACAATAAATGATGAAAAATTAACACTTGCATGTTGGTTAATCCAAATAGTTAGAATTAAAAGAGAGAAATAGTGGTGCATACAAAAAGGAAAAGTAACAAAATTACATTATTATCAAGCAAAAGTGTAATAAGATGCCGGCCAAAATACAGGCACCTGACTTATCAGTTCCAGGCAGTGAAGGAGAACCATTAAACTGATCAGCTGAAGATGATTTGGAGGCATTTTCCCCCACTGCGCGCCACCAAGGCTGAAACTGAATCTGCTCTCCGTGTTCTACACGCCAATCATCAGTGTCAGGCTTCCCTGGCATCTTAGAAGAACTTTTTCCTGGAACCACACAACAAAATTCAAAACCATAGTACACAAGAACATAATCAAATTCAAAAAATGATGCTATAAAAGAATGAACGAAGCTCAGGATCAAATAAATCCCAATCTGTTAACTCCACTGCAAAGCTGGAAAAGGTTAATGATGTTGAGACTAAATTGCATGCTGTGAAAATGAGTCTATAACTGAAATGAAACAATTTTGAAGATTTACACTCCGCTCAAAACCTCAGAAAGACTTGAGCTTTATCAAGTTACGTTGTTCTTGAGTAGGGAATTAGATTATTTGTAGCTTGCATGGAATTCTATATTATAAGAAAACAAAAGTGATGCTATTGACTACCCTTTTTGATTGAAAACTCAAAAATCAAAACTGCCTTTCCAGTTTTCTACCCAACCCAACACAAGCTGAAAACAAAATTTTCCAAACAATTATCATGAGAAAACGAAAACAAACAAACAAGCAAACAAAGAAACACCCTTTAGAAAGTTAAAGTCAAATTTAATTAAAAACTAGAGATACTGTGATTTAAGGGAATAAAGCCATGAACTTTAGAAGAGCTTACTACGAAAAGCTTTGGTTTTCAGAATCTGAATTGCATTAAGATGAGACCCATTCTCTCTCTTTCTCTAAGTCTGCAACCTCAAGAGAGACAATGGAGCATGATGCAGTAATGGAAATAAGGATTAACTTTTACGAATAATAAGAAAATAAATAAATAAATAAATGTTTACTTTCTTTTTGTTGAGAAAAATGAAAATGTAAGATATATATTTTATTTCTACTTCACGCAAAGGTCTTTGTCAGTGTCTGATGTCTCCCCTTGGAAGAAAACAAGAGAAAATGTAATAAAATATGAAACCTGCGTTACCTAATTACTTGAGTGTTATTTACGAACAATGATGTGTTGACAAAAATTGCCCCTTTTCTCAATTATAGAATGTGACCTAAGAAGAAACATTGTTGAAAAGTATGTCTAGCTTCATCTTTGTGTTACCTAGCTCAATATAGAATATGGAACAATATTTTAAACTTTTACGCTCCATTTTAGTTTAAATCGGGTATGCAATACAAGTGTAAAAAACTATTACAACTCATTTTACAAAAGCAATAAATTATCATATATAATAATTTATGACACTCAAATTCAAAATTCTGTGAGCAAATAGTAATTTAACACACGTTTCACAAATCCAATTATTTAATATATATATATATATATATATATATATATATATATATATATATATATATATAAGTATAATAACTTTTGTGGCATGCTATTTTCTTGAGCATTTGGTTACAGTAAAATAGCACTCCAATGCAAGAATAAATCATTAGATGTTGACCATTTTTTTCTTTTTACAAAATTTTTTTCCATACTTACAAATATCAAAGGAAAAATATTACCTACCAATACCATATACTCCATGTATTGTAATAAAATATATATTTCATTACATTAGAGGGTGACATTATTTATAAAATAAAAAATTGATGAAAAAAGGTTATGAACTAATATTAAAATATATGATAATTAAAGTCCCACCTAACTGTGACACCTGTATATATTCCACGACGTGTTGCAATCATAAACATTGTGCATTGTCCCACCATCAAGACCCTTACGCGTGTCCCCTTCTACTTATGCTAAATTTAGGTTATTATTATTTTTTTAATTACATTACTAAATTATAATCATTTTGTGAATTTTAGCATCAAGTTTTTTTTCTTGTACATCTCATCAACATTAATTTTTCATATATAAACTCAATATATATGTGACATAGTATTCGGACCGCTCTATCATAAATTTTAGCAAAATGAAATGGTTAGATTGATGATAAAATTAAAAAAACAAAATCAAGTTAAATTTATTTTTTTTAATAATAGGACTAAAAAATAAAAAATAAAAATATAATTATTTAAATAGTTGTGTGAACAGTGACAAAGACTTGCATTAAAATATATGAATGCCAACCAACTGCAGTTGGCATGGCACCGTTTGCAACATGGTGTCTGTCATTCACATTTTTGTTGTTTTCTGCAGAAAAAACATTCAAACAAATTCACAAGTTCAACCAATGAACGACACGTGCACCAGGCATGTGTTAGTTGCACTCCTCATCCTCTTTCTAAGTTCCACACGACATGTGTCACCATCTTAAGCTCTCTTAGATGACTCACTGTTCACTACGAGTTTTTCAATTATTCTTCTCGGTACAAACAAACATGTTATTGTTTATACAATTCAAAAGTTCAAATTTTAAAAGTCACTTTAATACACTTTCCATGTTTTTAATACGAGGATTATACACAAAATTATTAATCATAATCATTATAAAAATATAGACATGCACGGGTGTTTTACATACTTTATCATTAATTATTATATATGAAAATTTAATTATTTTTTATTATAGTTATCATATATAATAATTCTTTAATATATTTTTAAAAATTTATGATGAATTAATTTTGACTCATACAATTTTTTTTATTTTGCACAACTATTTATAAAATCAGGTTTTTAATCCAATAACTATTTACAGTAAACTATTGTTGACATTAACATGTTTAGTTAACAGATATATATAAAAAAAGTGAAAGGACATTAATGGTTAGTGGTTGGTGTTGGTCATCACAACAAAATCAATGGGTATAGTGAAAATGAACTTGTAAATATCTTAACGGGAATTAGAACTCAATTTATTTTTAGGAGAAATGAACAAAAAAATTATTATTATTGAAAAATAAACATAAAAGTGAATAAATATTATTATTTACATAACAGTGTTGATATCATTATGTGCGAGAGAAGATGGTGAATTTGTGTTAACCGTTTGGTTTGATAGAGGGAAAATACATTCATATGTAAAATAATTGTTATATTTAAATACTTTTTTAATTTATTATTTAAAAATTAATATATCTAATATTAAAAAATAAATATTTGATAATCTTGGTTTGCTTCGAACTCATCACGGGTAAATGCTCACAACATCCGTATGATTATATGTTATAAAAACACACACATAAAATAAGATTTTTATTTATCTTTTGTGTTAAAAATGTAATAACTTTATGAACATGAATTAAACATATTTTATTAAAGCAAATATAAGAAATTTAAATAGTGAACAAGCAAAAAAAAAATACTGTAATTTTTTCACTTCTACAACTAAAAGATTAAAATATTAAGATTTCATAGGTTTGTTTTCTTTTTTTTTTATTTAAATATTTTTGTAAGTAGTTTATAATTTTTTAAAACAATAGCTATAAATGCTTATTTTTATTTAAAATTTGTTTTTCATGAAAAAAATTAATGACAACATATTTTTTTAAAAAATGATAAATTAACATTTGGTTATTTACCTATCAAAATATGTAAGTTAATATATAAAAAAAACATTAAGATTTAGTAATATAAATTATAAGTTTAATAAATATAATATGGAACACATAAGAATAACAAAACAAAATAAAAAAAATTATTACAAACATAACATGAATATTTTTTAAACTAAACTATTTATGCTAAAAATATATATATAATTAAAAATTATTTAAACATATATTTTTAATATTATATATATATATATATATATATATATATATATATATTCATACATTTAATAAATGTATATTATATTTATTAATTTTGATAGATCATTTAATAAATCATTTTATTATATATACCTCGTACTTAAACAATTTTATTTCATTATTTTTACATATTGTTAGAATAGTTTTAAATATATGAAAAAAATTATTTTTAAATATATTTATAAGTCTAATAAAAATAAAAGTTATAGTTAAAAGATCATGATATAGAAATGTTTTGTTTTAATACTTATAAAAAATAATACAAAAATTGAATTAAATTCGAATCAACCTGTTTAATAAAATATTAATTATTTTTAAAATAACAAGCTAAATATTACTAGAAATAGAGAGAGAAACACATAAAAAATAGTGATAGAGAGACGAAGACACATGGGAAACTGGTATACATGTAATAAAATATTTTTGTAAGACATAATTTGTAATAAAATATAACACTATTACATGAAAAAAATAATTTAATTAAAAATTATGACTTTTTCTTTATCTGTAAATATAATTATTCTTTAATATTATTTAAGAACTATATTAATCTCTAATATGTATTTTAAGTTCAATTTTGAAATACAATTCAAATTTTACATAATTTTTTTTTATTAAAAGTAATAAGTAACTTGATTTGATAGATGTAATATTTGAATTTATCTTATATTTTATATAAGAAATTCAGTATAAAAATAAAAAAACATATGTCATGTGTATAATTTTTTATATCTTATATATTTATTTTATATATTTCATTTAAATTAATTTAAATATCCAAACAATTACAAGTTTACGTTTTTGTATTATTCTACTGGAAATGGATCAATTAGAATTTATTTACACAGTTGGTACGATCATGTTTATTATTATAGATATTATGTAGTTTAAAATTTTAGTTACTTTATTTTATTTTTTTAATTGTTCTTAGTTTTAATTTCTAATATATATATATTACCAGAAATTAAATTAATTTGTTTTATGAAATGCCGTTAATTTAATTACTGTACAAATTATAATTTTATTTTACAATATGTAATAGTCTTACGATCACAAAATACTTGTAGTGATTTTTTTTAGTAGCTTTGAATACTTGGATTTTGCCATAGAGTAGGAAGAAGGTGAGATAGTTTCAAACATATACCAAAGAAGAAAAATAGACATGAAAGATTTCTCCAAGTGAAAGTCATTAGGTTAGAGTGCAATGAATGACTGATATAGATTTAAAGTGAAATGGTTGAAGCCAGTAATAAAATATTAATATATCACAATTTTTATCTATAATGCTAAGTCACATCACTTTGAAGATATATATGTATTTTCATTTTTACATAATTAAAAAATTAAATCATAATCTCTGTCAATAGGACTCATCTATGTCAATGACACTGACACGTCTAGGTATTTTCATTTTTACACAATTGAAAAGTTAATTTATGCTTTTTTTAGTATATTGAAAAATTGACTATATAAAAAGAAATATATATTTATTATGTTACATTTTTAAAATTAATTGATGATGTATAAATATTTATTTTACTTTAAATATATAATTTTCATTAATAATAAATATTTTTTATATAAAAACATATTTGATAATAATAACATATTTGAATTGTATATGTATTGTTATGAACTTTTGTATATAGGCATATATTTAATTGGTTGAAAAACTTTATAAATAAAAGTTTATGTTAAATAATTTATTATATAAACCTTCGTCTTATTAAAAATAGTTATTTTTTTTTAATTTTCTCTTATATTGGAATATTATGATTTTGTTAGATTTCATTTGGAAGGTAAAAGAGGAAGAGGCAAGGAGATAATTTGTTTGACTTTTGCAATAGATGCACTCAACATATTGTTGTCTGTATTTATCCACCAACACAACCAATAGGAAACTGGAGACTAGGTTTGCCAATTACTACTCTTTGAAGTGACCTTTTTAGCAGCTTTAAATTCTTCAATTTTGCCTGAACTTGTCATTGAGTACGAAGGTGAGAAAGTTTTAATGAGAATGAAAAAGAAGAAAAAGGAGATATGAATCATATTTTAAGCATTTGATAGGTTAAATTGTATTTGAAGTTAACTAATAAAACTAAGTATCAATTTATATACGTTTGGTCCATTATGTGGTAAAACTAGTTCAGGGTCATCAAGCAGATCATTCTGCTATGCAGTTTTCACTATTCACAAACAAAAAGACTATACAGGCTGTACAGACTGCAAACTCGCCAAGCAAGTTAAACATTAAACAACTGTAGTCAGCATAAATGGATATCATCTGTTCAGGGTAAAAGAGGATGAATAATTTCGTTGAACGCATTCAAGATCATCCACTTATCTCTATCACTGCTTATTCTCCACGGTATGACAATCATCAGCCAATCAGGGAAACATCCCCTCAAGAAACTCGTCATAGCTATCATTATCATTATCACCATTGTCAATTTTGTGATCACTGGATGACATCAAAGCCTTTTTTCCTGTAAATACATGGTCAACAAAGTTTAAGTTTGTAACATATACAATTAAATTTTAGGACAAGATCTCTGAAGCATTGGATTTGTAAACCTTTGAATGGCAGTGGCACCATAGAAAAAAGTTGTATATTTCAATTTAACCCATTGCTTCCTGTGCAAAACTTTTTACGCTATTAGAACAAGGTGTCATGTCATTGTAGTGATTAACTAGTCCCGAGGTTTTTCATTTCCAGAAAAGGTTTTAAACAGTTTTCTAACCAACCTGCTCATTATACATATCTTAATTTACAAAAAGATTAATTATAACAAGCTGACAAGCTTTACAAAAGAGCCCAAGACAATAACCAAAGATTAGGCAAATATTCTTCTAAAAGCAGAAGCTACAATACAATAACCACAGATCCACACACATTTTGAAAGCTTTGCAAATGCTCTCAACATCATACACTATTCCTTTCAAGAACAATTCAATTGCATTTTAAGAAAATAGAATGGAAAATGAAACATTATAAAGCCAAACCATCCTACTAAAAGATATGAAATGCATTGTTACACTATCGTCAAATGATTTACAGTATCCAGCATAACAATTGGTGAAATACTCATTTAATTATTCTTGGATAATGGGTAGGAAGGGAATGTGCTAGGGTCATGGACGCGAAGGACCCAATTGAGACAGCAAGGCAGCATTAACAGGTGCAACCAAATCAGGGGCATAAGGTTTGTCAAATATACTGAGAAAACCTATCACACTAATGAGTATAAGAAGGGCAGAGGTGAAAGAGGTGCTTTACACTCTGAAGGAATTGAACTTTGGGATGAGTGGGGAAAACTCTTGCAATCTATCTCATACAAATGATAAATTCTCCAGGTCTATTCTTCAATATTAATAAATGATATACTGAAAATACAAAGATTATCATGCCATGAAGATAGTTCAACTTCAGACCTTTTCTCCTCTCTTTGCTTTCTTGGTAGTCATCTAGATCATCATCACTCTTAGAACGATTCCTATAAATAAAAGAATTTAATCTCCATGTCTTCTGGCCAATAAATGAAAAAATAAGGGGATTGGGGAGAACAATGTTCTTACCTCTTTCGTCTATCCTGATCTTGTTGCCTTTTCTCTAACTGTTCCTTTTCTTTCTGCCTCTTGTAGTTGAGTTTGCATGCACATCTATTAAAAAATAACCAAGAAAAAGAAGAAACTCAAAGTTGATTTTTCCACAACCTTCAATAAGTAAAAAACAGTCACACAAAGCACTTAATGGCATAAGTACTAACAAGAAAAACAGTGGCATATGCACAAAACCAGGATTGCCACATTGACTCACCGCTCACATGTTACCAATTTAACTAAGGCTTGTTTGTTTTCTCCAGCTTCAAAGTAACAGAAGTTTACCTGTAATATTAAGCAAATAGTATAAAGGAGTGGAAACACCTAATGAGATACTAACAAATTACGTCTCCTTGACAGTCAAACATAAACAAAGCTGCCATTAGAATAATTAACAAAGAAGAGTATTCAACGAGAAAGAAAACTTATGCTGAAAAATGCATGTCTCAAGTACACCAACGGATTCAACATTTATACTTATACAATGTATACAATAAAGCAAATATAATATTCCTAATTAGAAGCACAATAATTTCACATACTATCATTGATTGAAATTTATTAAGAATTGCAAAATTATAAGTTGAGCTAATGACATTGGGAGCAGAACCCACATAATTTGATTACTCCCAGTTAAATCCAACCAACAAAAAAAGTCTATTAGAGAGTGTGTTATTAGTGTTTCTCTTTTGAGTTATTATATTAACATGATACACTGAACCAAGATACTTGCACTGAATCTAGCCATAATGCTAAAAATACATGCCTAAACTCGACTACACCAATGGATTCAACATTTATATCCATATAATATGTATAATAAAGCACACATATAATATTCGTAATTAGAAGAATGTTAGGAACACATTTCTTTAAAACATTATCATTGGTTGAAATTTATTAAGAATCACAATATCGTAAGTGGAACTAATGAAAATAAATTTCAATCAATAATAAAGAGTTTATTTGAGAGTATGTTATTAGTGTTTCTCTTTCTAATTCTTTATCATTATTATATACTGAACCAAACCACTTGCACTAAAACTAACCATAGTAAATAGCAGCATAATTCCAAAATGAAGACAAAACAAATAATAGTAACAAATCCTTTACCCACTAGGTAGGATCAATTGATCAATTAGACTACCTAAAGCCAAGTTTTTAGTATCAGAATAAAATGCCTACCTCATAGCTTGCTAACCCATCTTTATCATTGCAATGTTTGTTACCACATATGAACTGACCTGCAAAGTTACATAACCAATCAATTTTAAAAATTGAGCAGGATTCCAAACAGAAATGTTAAAAACAACTACTTTTCTTCTCATTATATTGTGGACAAAGTTTGAACCCTGGTTTAGTAAACAACAAATATTTAGGGCGGTAGGGTCCCCTTGACTTGAGTCACTTTTGGTCCAGAACTTGGTCTATTTTTAAAATCAATGTATAACACTTTTCTGATGTTCTGTTCCTTCTTTTTTGCAAATCAAACAAACTACAGTGGAGGATAGTCATGTCTTTTGGAAGGTTCTTTCCAGTCTTGTGTCTACCCAAGCTATCTCCAATTTAAAGGTTAAACTTAGGCACTTAGCTAAGAGTGGGCTGGCTGGTTCGAATGCAGAGAACTGGTGTCCTTTTTACCTGTGAGAAGTTGTAAACACAGCTGGTTGTCAGGTTCTAAAATTCTGCTTACTTTGAGTTACTTAGTGTAACTCCTAAAGCTGCTTCTTAATCTCATGAAAGTGGATGGTAATTTACCCTTATCCAGACCTGTTTTGGATTATATTTCCATCCACTATCCTTTGCAAACACCCATTTTGTTAGTTAGGATGAGGGTTGCAGGCCTAAGAATGAAGGGGGATTAAAACAAGTTTCTTACCTTGTGCTTTTTTAAAAAAAATAAAATAAAAAATTATATAATTGAATGAATTAAACATGTAGAGGCAAAGCCAACAAGTCCACAAAGAAAGTAATATCATTAATAGATCATTTTTTCAAAGACAACAAATACTACTTCACATGTGCTTTTGAGAGTGGGTTGTCCTTGTACTTGGATACTAATCACAATTATACGATATCTATGGAAAGAACACACCAAAAAGCATGTTTCCAGAAATAGTCCCGACCCAATGAAACAAGGGAAGGAACTGAGGGAATCAATAACTAAAATGTACTAGCCAGTGAAAGAATAAATAATACCCTTGCCAGACATGACTTCCTTCTCTGTCCTCCACCTGAGACCAATCTAATAAGAAAAATGCAATTTATCAGCTCAAAATTAAAGATGTACTCTACTTAAAATGAGTTTCTAGACTTCATAAAACCCCTCTATCACCAACATCCCCTGGAAAAGAGATGAAGGTAACATCTCTTTTTCTACCTCAGAATTCTGTTATCTTTAAAAAAGAATACAATGCTTTTTAACAGGATTCTATGAATATAGTGAGTACTGACTAGTGGGAGCCTATCAACGTGTTTAAGCAAAAAGGTAGAGAAACAGGTTAAAAATTCCTGCCCAAAGGTTCCAATGTGATTTACCAAAACTACAATAAAATTATTAAACCATTATTTTGAATGTCCAAAGAGAAAGGGTCAGCATCATTCAAGCCCTCAATAGATTGAGTCCTTCTGTACACTTTGCTACATCTGGAAAAATACAGAATGGTAATATTAACTCCCAGGAAGTAAACTGATGCAAAACAATTGTCAAGGGCTCAATTGATACTGACCATATCTCTTGAAGACCAAAATATAGTTTCAGTCATAAGAATAAGTATACAAAATAGCAAAATTCAGCAATCCGCAAAGATATAATCTGAAAGTAATGAATAATTACCTTACCACTCTTGAAGTGTGACATGTCAGCTAAGCAGTATCTTGAAAGGATTAAGGTACAAGCAAACAAGTACAAATTAGCTGGTTAATGCAAAGTTGCAAACCGTGATAAAACAAATAAGTAACAGTATTTATCCCAAAAACAATATCAGGCGAAAAATACTTTCAGGTAATATGCACAAATTAAGTGAACAAAGATTTATCAAATATAGATTCACAAATGCCTGGGGTATGAGTTTCTAAGTTAAAAATCTCCAAGTTGATCAGGCAGGAAAAGATAAATCATTGAGAGAAACAAGAGGTTGTAGAGCTCTATACCACGGGAAAATGCTTTGCAGTCCTTTGGAAGGACAAATCATATATTTAATGATAGTATCTACTCAGTCATATTTGGCATCAGAGAGGGATTGCAGATTTAGTTCAATTCTTTGGGGGAAAAACGAAAGAAAATAAATTTACCCAAAAGAATGAAAATACCAACATTTAATTATCAGGACAAAATGCAGGTAAGTACTTGGACTCCACTCCACAACTTTCATTTTTAAATCCGTATGAATCAGAAGCAATGTCAACAATAACTATAAGCTAGTTTATATAAAATGCTTTATGGCAGAGGGATCAAGTTGGGTAAATTGGATGCAAAAACTAATATATAAAAATCTCTAAATCTCTTCCATGTGCATTCTTCACATTTCTTGACCAACTAATTTAACCAAATTTAAAATCAAAACAAAATGCTAATATTAGAAAAATAATTAAAAGAAACCATCGCTCGTACATAGATAGTATTAGTAAAAAATTGAACATGTTTGCAAAGGATACTCCTTAAAAAGCTTGTCATAATATCGCTTGACTAGCCTTTGTTCCCACGATGGATTCATATCATCTTCTTCTGACCGGATGAATCTTGCAATATTTTGATTAACAACATTAAAATTCTGACACAGAATTAAACAAATTGAGAGGACGGATGATAAGGCAGGAAGGTAAAACTTTTTTTCCCAATAATAATAATAAAAAAATCATATTCACAAGGAAAGCTTTAAAAGTATCATATGTAGGGTAAAAAAATTATATTCACATTAGCTTCAACAGAGTTGAACATGCAGGAAATGACAGAAGCCCTTTATGCTATTGCTAGGAAAAGGCTGATTTCATACGAGTGCCAAATATAAGTAAGCCCTCCATCCATTAATCATGATTTCACTCACATAGCTACGTCAAATCACATGAAAGTTTTAAAAAACATGGAAATGTTGTAGATCATTCATAAAAATCTCGAAGAAATGAGGGATAGCCACTAAATGTGAAAATGTAGAGTAAGGAATATAACTGAAATTTAATATGAAAAAAATGAGGGAAGGCTCATTTCGTATACTAAATCAGGAGGGGAAAATCTATGGCAAGGCAACAATTTCCAGAAATATAACAAAAAGAAAGGAAACTCCCACCAGTTTTAGCTTAAATAAGGCAAGATAACAAGCTTACCTGTATCCTTCTCTTAGTGTATCTTGATCTGTTTTAATAGGCAACTTTAAGTTTGAAGGTCTTTCTTTTCCATAAAAATTAACTGTAGGCACAAAAATAAAGAATCATAGAAGATGTTCTGGATGGAAAAGAATGCAGTTAAACCAAAGAAAACAAACTAAGCTGAAATTTCACAGAAAACTGAAATAGTCTGCAGCAGAACCTAGATGGTAAAATAACTACAAGCATATAAACAGAAAATAACTTCAGTAAACTACAGTAGATAATAACATCCATCAGGGCAACAATGGCAACAGTAATAACATAAGCCATATTCTCAGTAGTTTAGGGTTAGTTACACCAATTAATAATGTCGTTGTAGTTTTCTAATAAATAAAAATACCCGAAAGGCCATTCGGATGGGTATTTTGAAAGATACAGCTCCTCTAAAGTGAGCAAGGTATACTCATCTAATGAGAAAATTAAACGTACACATTCAGGATTTCCTATGCATGTGTGCCCTAACAGATAATATCAACATTTGATTTTCTCATAAAAAATCGCGATTACTTAATTTGCTCACTTTTCACTCTAGAGAAGTTAGATCCGTATTGAATACAAGTGTGAGGATGATTGTAGCCTCCTTCCAACTCGGTGGCGGAAACTGTTCATCATCCATTCGCTATAGGACATTATTACAATGAACCAACCAAATATGCAACTAGAAATTTGTTCAGTTCCTTATCGTCCATCAAACCTAAACAAAATCACTTTCATCACGAACCCGAAAATTCTTCGAAAAAACTTTGATGTTTATTTAAAGAAGAGAGGAAATAAGTATTAAATAATAACTTATAAAGTTTTTGTAACAAAATTGAATATCTGTAAGGATGATTGTAGCCTCCTTTCATCTTAGTGGAGAAAACTGTTCATCACCCATTTGCTATGGGACATTACTAGAAGGAACCAACCACATCACCAGCTAGAAATTTGTTCAGATCCTTACTGTCCATCAACCCTAAACAAATCTTCTTCTTTATTTTTTCTTTAAAAACAATAGTACATTGCGAAACAGGAAATTTTTTAAAAGAACTTAATTTAAAAAAAATAAGTATAATAATAATTTAAAACAAATTCTTAAACCTACCGTAGTCGTTGATGAATTTTTTGTGACGGTCGTATGCATTGAGGCCTCGAATATGCCACTGGTACTGCCTGCGATTCCGATCAGGTTAACGTTAGGTTAATCGAAATCGAATTCGATCCAATCCAAATGAAGAAAAAAATGGGAAAATAAACGCATTGCTCACTGTTTTCTCTCTTCTTTGTCGAAAATGGTGGATTTGATAGACCCAAACGATGTCATCGTCGTAGTGACAACAACAAGCGAAATGAAGCAAAGCAAATGGAAAGTCTTTTACTTTGTTTTGCCCTTTCGTTGTGAACACAAAACAGCACTCAAACTGGGTTCTTCACTTCTTCTGCGCTAGATTCTAACCCTTTTTTTAATTTTCAATTTCAATGTTTTCTTATACAATATATAATATTGTTATTTGTAAAAATTATTTAAAATTCTGTGAATAATATTTTATTATTAAAATAAACAATTAAGGACATGTTTAAAAAGTATTTGTAATTTTTTTCATCATTTTAATTTTACAAATATTATTTAATAAGTGTTTCGTTAAAATTTTTTTATTATTTTAAAAATAAAAAATTATAAAACTGTTTTCATTTTTTAGTTTTTATTGATGGATATTGATATTTTTATCATTAATTACATTAAAATTTGTTAAAATAAAATTATCAGATAAATTATTTTTTAATTTAAAAATTGAAATTAATCTTCAAGAATATTTTTATAAATTAAAACAAAAAATTATATTATTTACTCTGAAACTTTTAAAAATATGACTTTGATATTTTTATCTATTTACATTATTATTACTTTTCTTACTTAAAATTAATTAACTATAAATGCCTTTTTATCATTAGATAAAAAGATACTACTTTTTAATACTTGTTTTATGACATAAATTAAAATAACAGAAGTAAGTGTTGTGTGAATTGTACATACATTAAATTTAAATATATTTTACAAATAAATATATATTGTATAAATTTACATATTTAAAAGTATATTTTTATTTCTATACATACTATTTGATTTTTTAATATATATATATATATATATATATATCATTTTTATACTAATTTTTTTATCTCTCTATGCATACCATTTTTAATTCTTACATACAAGAGTTAAAATAAATAAATTTCTAATATACAAATTAGAAGATAAAATTTATTAACTATAAATTCTAAGTAGGTAATTAAACTTATTATTAATTACAAAATTTGTTTAAGTTAAAAATTTGACATTAATATTTTGTAATGTTATGGTTCTATTAATAATTAATTAAATATGGTAAAAAAGAAAGAAAAGAGGTTTTGTTTTACTCTAATTTTCTACTTGAAAACTGGGCCAAGTCCATTGATTTTTCTTTAGTTGTGTTTTTGGTAGACTTTAGTCTCTTTACGTTTTATGAACGTAACGTAACCTTAGCGTACACATAGTCAAAAACACAAACTACACTTCTTCGTATTCACTTACACTTCAATTTTAATTGTACTTTTTTTTTATATTTAACTTTTATCCGTGATTTTAATTATAATTTAGTTTAATGTTTTAGATGTTTTCGTTAAAATAATGAACTTATTGCATATAATTTTTTTATTAAATAAAAGATAACCTTTTCCAAAAAGAAAAGAGAGTTATGTATAAAGGGTGTTATCATCCCATAGCAAATTATAATACATTTGTTGATGTGTATACATTAAAAATAAAAATAATAACTGATTTTAAAAAACTTTATACCTTTATTGTATTTAATCAATCGTTTTTCTATACTATTAATAATTATATATATGTAATGAAATGTTTTTTTTCTTCGCATTTCACATTATTGTTTTTTTATATATTGAGAAGAAAAATAACCATCTCTTAACATTAAAAAAATGTACACTTCTAATAGTTAAAATTTCTAACTAGTTAAGAATAAATAAATAAACATATTTTTCTTTTCTATTTTCTTTGTCACAGTCTGAACAATAACGTTACATTACATTTAAAAAATAAAAAAAAAGCTTCTGACCAAAAATCCTTCCTTGTCAGTTCCCCCATATGCAAACAGAAGAACAAGACTTTTAAAAAACCCAATAAAAAGTTCCTTTATTATATTAGTGATTTCACAGTCTGTTCATTTCATTACACTTTTCTATTATTTCTTCACTGTAACATATATGTATGCATAAAAACTATTACTTTTTTATTATACTGTTCCACTATGTTATATTTTCTTATTTGATTAAAGCATTTATTTACTAATATTAAGATTTTTTGAGAATGGATGTTGTTGGGATAAATGTTTGTGTGTCTATGATTTCAGGTTACAGGTGTCGGTGATAGTGTACTAGTTGTAGTGCCATTGTCTTTTTCCTCTCCTTTAAAAACCTTTCCTTTTCACTCTATTCATTTACAGCTATACACACGCTCATTGGTACATAGAGCCATTGCCACTCACAATTGACAAAAACAAACGCTTAAGAGAGAGTAAGGGAGAGGGAGTTATCCATTGTTTTCATCACCATTTCTTTCCTCTCACTCCATTATCGATCTGGGTTCTCTCTTTTTATCAGTTTTGCTTGGGGATTTGCTCAACTGGGGCGGTTGCTTTTGTCACTTGGAAGCTACAAAGTTGGGAGATTTTGGCTGATTTGGCCTCATTGCCTTAAAGTTCATCTGGGCTTTTCAGATTCTCTTTGATCCATCTGTTTTCAGTGGAAACTGGTGGAAAGATTGTTCTTTTAGGTGAGTTTGGTGTGGATATGCGGTTTTTTAGTGCATGGTTTTTGTTTCTGAAATGGGTAGTTGATATCTGTTGTTCACCGTTGATCACGCTAGAATCTAAAGGAAAAATTACTTTTTTTTTATTATTTGTCTGTGAAGGGGAAAGTGCTTTGTTTTCTCAGCCATGTACATAAAGGAGATTTCATTGTTTAGAATCTTCCTTTTTCATCTTCCACCCACCCTTTTCTCATCCACCTAACAAAATGTCACAGGTTTTTTCCCCCCTCTTTGCAAACTGCTTAGAATGCTTGTTAAAAACTAGATTTTGTTCTGTGATTTTAAGATCAATTTGTGATAAAAAAAAATGTATTTTTTGTTCATGTGCCAATTGTTGAGAATACTTGCTACAGACTAGGTTTTGTTTTTGTGATTGTAACTTCAATTTGTGATCGAAGCTTTTAAAGTTTTTTTTTTCCACATTGCACATCGTTGGGAAGTTGTTACAAACTAAAATATAGTTTTGTGATTATGGGTTTAATTTCTACAGAAATAAAAAAATAATAAGGGAGCTGTTTCAGAAGAGGAAATCTTCCAAATTGATCTTCTCAGCTATCAGAAAGTGTTGAAATTAATGAACGTGGCATGAAATAATACCCTCTGGTCCCTTATTGACATTTGAGAAGTGTTGAGTAGAAGGAACTATGGAGTCAGAAGTTGAAGCTGGGGTGAGTATATGTACCAAGTTATCTGTTTGATTTCCTCCATTGTTGTGATGCTGTGGCGGTGCAATGGCTGTAGATTGATGCTTGACGAAGTTTTTTACGACATTTTCATTGTCAGGTAAAGCCAGTGACAGCATTGAGTGCCCAAGTGTGCCAGATCTGTGGTGATGGTGTTGGGAAGACTGTGGATGGTGAACCTTTCATTGCGTGCGATGTTTGTGCTTTCCCTGTATGCAGGCCTTGCTATGAGTATGAAAGGAAGGATGGGAATCAATCTTGCCCCCAGTGCAAAACCCGGTACAAGAGGCACAAAGGTAAATGAAGCTAATTGACCTCTTTCCAGTGAACAAATGAGAGACATGCCCTTTTACTTCAAGAACATTTATTCAGTGAACTGCTGAATTAGAACTTTTATAACTATAGCTATAGGTAAACAAAGCATGTAACCTTAGTACACTCTAAGAGTATACAAGTGAGACACTCTTACTGTCACTATTTACTAGTTTCTTCAACCCAACTCTGCTGAGTGGATTGATAGTGTATAGAAGATTACATTTATACGTTGTCAACTTTTCCAAATGAGATGATAAATCTTTCAACAAAGGTATCAATTTGATTTTGCACGAATAACAAAATCTGTGCTATCAAATCAACTCATGAAATAGTATAACCGAGGAAGATCTTTTAACCATACTAAATAAAACAAAAAAACATTTATTCTTGATGAAATTCCAAATTCCTATATTTTCTGATTGTATATAGTGATTAAACTACTTGTTTAAATGATTCCAGGAAGTCCTGCAATTATTGGAGATAGTGAAGAGGATGGTGCTGCCACTGATGGTGCCAGCGACTTTAATTATGATTCAGACAATCAAAACCAAAAGCAGAAGATATCAGAGCGCATGTTAAGCTGGCAATTGACATATGCACGAGGAGAGGAGGTTGGTGCTCCAAGTTATGATAAGGAAGTTTCTCACAACCACATTCCTCTGCTGACTAGTGGACAAGAGGTCATTGAGTTTGCTTCCAATATTTGTAGTTTCCTTCACCTTTCACCTTCAGTATCAGGATTCTGATTGAAAATTGGTGTATCTTTGATGGCAGGTATCTGGAGAGTTGTCTGCAGCCTCACCTGAGAGGCTGTCAATGGCATCTCCTGCAGTTGGTGGTGGAAAACGTGTCCATAATATTCCATATTCATCTGATATTAATCAATCTCGTACTCTCTTACCCCTTCTCACTATGCACATTCTCATCTATGATTTATGATTGTTACTTTTCTTTATCTAGCCAATTGATTGTGATTTGAGGTACTGGAATATTTATTGTGCAGCAAATATCAGGGCTGGGGATCCAGGTTTGGGTAATGTTGCATGGAAAGAAAGAGTTGATGGCTGGAAGATGAAGCAAGAAAAGAATGTTGTTCCAATGAGCACTGGCCAAGCTGCTTCTGAGAGAGGGGCTGGAGATATTGATGCTACTACAGATGTGCTTGTGGATGATTCCTTGTTGTGAGTATTAAAATTATCTATTCTGTAAGAACCATTGCTGTTCTATTTGTATTGTAAGTCTCGTTAATTGTTTCTGTCTGTGTATGTTTACTGTTATACTCTTCGGTAGTTAACAATATGATTTGGTAATATATCATGATTGATATCTTGAGAAGGTTTGGTAATTAACACAGTAGTTTTCTTCTGTTGCATATGCGAAATCTTTTGAATAAATCTCGTGTGTGAATGCAGTCTTCTCTATATGCAGGAATGATGAAGCTCGACAGCCTCTTTCTAGGAAGGTTTCAATTCCGTCATCTAGGATCAATCCATATCGGATGGTCATTATGTTGCGGCTGGTTATCCTTTGTATTTTCTTGCATTATCGGATAACAAATCCAGTCCCCAATGCATATCCATTGTGGTTGGTATCAGTTATATGTGAGATTTGGTTTGCCATATCTTGGATATTGGATCAATTCCCCAAGTGGCTTCCTGTCAACCGTGAAACATATCTTGACAGGCTTGCATTGAGGTAACTTTTGATCTTTACCGTTCTGTAAGGAAATTGTGGCATGTGGCACGCATATTTTCTTTTTCAATCTGATATTCTTTTAATACCAAATTCATGTGAGTTGCAGGTATGATCGTGAAGGAGAACCATCACAACTAGCTGCTGTTGACATTTTTGTCAGTACTGTTGACCCATTAAAGGAGCCCCCGCTTGTGACTGCCAATACCGTACTGTCTATTCTTGCAGTTGACTACCCAGTGGATAAGGTCTCCTGCTATGTGTCTGATGATGGTGCTGCTATGTTGACATTTGAAGCCCTTGCCGAGACATCAGAGTTTGCAAGGAAATGGGTTCCCTTTTCCAAGAAGTATAGCATTGAACCCCGTGCACCTGAATGGTACTTTGCACAAAAGATTGACTACTTGAAAGATAAGGTTCATCCATCATTCGTCAAGGATCGTAGAGTGATGAAGGTAAGATATTGGCTTATAAATGGATTATTCTGCTGGCTGGCATGCATTTGCAATATTTGCATTAGTTTTGGTTTTCACAGGGGTATCTTTTAATATTTCTTTCCATTTATGTTTCACAGAGAGAATATGAGGAATTTAAAGTTCGTGTTAATGGACTTGTTGCAAAGGCACAGAAAGTTCCCGAAGAAGGATGGGTGATGCAAGATGGTACACCATGGCCTGGAAATAACACCAGAGACCATCCAGGAATGATCCAGGTTTGTTGAATACTTGTGATGATGACATTTTACAAGCTGTTGTTTGTTTATTAGCTTTGGAGTCATTTCCCAAAGCTTTTGTCTTACTTTATAGAGTATGTGTTACAATGTTACAAGTACTGGTTACTGAAATTCATATCACCCTTGATGTAATTTTCTAACTTTCTATTACTAATTACAATTAGCATTTGAGCAAGTCTTACACTGTGAAGATGTTAAATTTTGGTTCGAAAGTTGCAGACTGTCTAGCATGTCATTCACTAAGATAAGATCACATTTTATGCTGCAGGTTTTCTTGGGCCAAAGTGGAGGACTTGACACTGAGGGTAATGAACTTCCCCGTTTAGTCTATGTTTCTCGTGAAAAGCGCCCAGGTTTCCAACATCACAAGAAAGCTGGTGCCATGAATGCACTTGTGAGTACCATTTACAATATAGAATGTGAAAGTTAACTGTTCTCCGCACATATCCCAAATATGGCCATCTCACTGTTGGTGATTTATATAACTTGCAGGTAAGAGTATCTGCAGTCCTTACTAATGGACCTTTCTTATTGAATCTTGATTGTGATCACTACATAAACAACAGCAAGGCCTTGAGGGAAGCTATGTGCTTTATGATGGATCCCAACCTTGGTAAACATGTTTGCTATGTCCAGTTTCCACAGAGGTTTGATGGTATTGATAGAAATGATCGTTATGCCAATCGTAATACAGTGTTCTTTGATGTAAGTATCTTATGCCGTGTTCATCTGATTTTTTTTTTTTTCTGATTTCTGCTACTGTTTGTTATTCCTGTGGCCTATATGAGATTTAAACTCTTTTGTTTGTGATACAGATAAACTTGAGAGGCTTGGATGGCATTCAGGGTCCTGTTTATGTGGGTACTGGATGTGTATTCAATAGGACAGCTTTATATGGTTATGAACCTCCTCTTAAACCAAAGCACAAAAAGCCTGGGTTGTTATCATCACTCTGCGGTGGAAATCGGAAGAAGAGTTCAAAATCTAGTAAGAAAGGATCAGACAAGAAAAAATCTAACAAGCATGTTGACCCTACTGTACCTATTTTCAGTCTAGAGGATATAGAAGAAGGAGTAGAAGGTAGACCTCTTGAACTTCTGTTTGCTTCGTGAAACGTGTACAATTTTTGTTCTTTTTTAAAAAACTCTTTGGGGTCATCTGTTTAGCAGTTTAGTTTAGTTGCTTCCAATTAATCAGTCCTTTAATTCTAACATATTTTTTCAGGTACTGGATTTGATGACGAGAAATCACTACTTATGTCACAAATGAGCCTTGAGAAAAGGTTTGGTCAGTCTGCTGTTTTTGTAGCCTCCACTCTTATGGAGAACGGTGGTGTTCCTCAGTCTGCTACTCCAGAAACTCTTCTTAAGGAGGCTATTCATGTTATCAGCTGTGGTTATGAGGATAAAACAGAATGGGGATCTGAGGTGTGGTATCTCTTATGCTTAATGTCCCTTGATTTTGAATTTCCTTTTTGTTCCTGAGTTGCACTCTAATCCTATCAACTGAGCACGTTATTACCAACAAATTAATCCTTTACAAATCCAACAAATTGAATTATAATAAACTTGGCAAAAATTTCTCTCGAAGATTGCTTTGCTGAAGAACCAAGTAGAGGACCCTTTTTATATGATTTAATATTCACTGCTCGTCTTCTGTTCCACAGATAGGATGGATTTATGGTTCTGTCACGGAAGATATTCTTACAGGATTTAAGATGCATGCCCGTGGTTGGCGATCTATATACTGTATGCCTAAGCGACCAGCGTTCAAAGGTTCTGCTCCCATCAATCTTTCAGACCGTCTGAACCAAGTGCTTCGATGGGCTTTAGGTTCTGTTGAGATTCTTTTTAGCCGACATTGTCCCATCTGGTATGGTTATGGTGGAAGGCTAAAGTGGCTTGAAAGGTTTGCGTATGTGAACACTACAATCTATCCGGTCACTGCCATTCCCCTTCTCATTTACTGTATCTTGCCTGCTGTCTGTCTGCTGACCAACAAGTTCATTATTCCACAGGTTTGTCATTTCTTCATAAAACACATAGAATTCATCATTTGTCATCTGTAATAAATCACGAGGTAGAATCACTGGATAAAAATCATATGATATTGTGCATCAAAATGATGTTTTGATATTTAAAGGGGTGGTTTCATGAAAGAATGACAATATAATACAATTTATGTAATATTCTAACTTACTTTTTTGCTATGCTTGCAGATCAGTAACCTTGCAAGCATCTGGTTCATTTCTCTCTTTCTTTCCATCTTTGCTACGGGAATCCTGGAGATGAGGTGGAGTGGAGTTGGAATCGACGAGTGGTGGAGGAATGAACAGTTTTGGGTTATCGGTGGTGTCTCGGCCCATCTCTTTGCCGTTTTCCAAGGCCTGCTCAAGGTGCTTGCTGGAATAGACACCAACTTCACGGTCACCTCCAAGGCCTCAGATGAAGATGGAGACTTTGCTGAGCTCTACATGTTCAAATGGACCACCCTTCTCATCCCCCCCACAACCCTTCTCATAATAAACATGGTAGGGGTTGTTGCTGGCATCTCCTATGCCATCAATAGTGGCTACCAATCATGGGGACCCCTGTTTGGTAAGCTTTTCTTTGCATTTTGGGTGATCATCCATCTCTATCCTTTCCTCAAAGGTCTCATGGGGCGCCAGAACAGAACACCAACCATTGTGGTGGTGTGGTCCATTCTGCTTGCATCCATTTTCTCTCTGTTGTGGGTGAGAATTGATCCTTTCACCACAAGGGTCACTGGCCCTGATGTTGAGGAGTGTGGCATTAACTGCTAGACCAAAAGACAAGTATGTAGTGTGTTGTGTTTTGGGTTGTAATTATAGCTATTGTTTGTAGCAGCCGTTATATTTGGTCTGTGTTTTCAAGTTATGTGCAGTTTATAGAAAGATACATAAGAAAACAAAGTAGTAGATGTAAACTTTGCGGCATTGTTTTGTTTGTAACACCGAACGTGCCTTCCAGTTTTGTATGTATACATCTATCTCAGTGAGTGTTTCTTGTGATTAGAAACCGTGTACTTCTTAAATTGGTATACTAATTATTCTAAAACCATCATCACGCAACTATGGTGATCCTGTCAAATATTTTGATCAAGAGTTTTGTCACTTGTATCTGTTTAGAGGAGGATTATGTCTTGTGAAAGATATTTGTGGCTTCATATTAAGAAATTGAAAAATTGGGAGACTAAAGAAGAATTTAACCAAAGAATTTTGGGTTGGTGAAGAGCAACACGTTAGGATCTGCCCATTCCAATGTCGAATTTATTTATATATATCCCCAAACAAGTTAGAGAGTCGAGTTATATATATCATATGCAAAAAGCCATATCAGGCTTTAGATTTTTTGTCCCATTTGAACAGAACAAGTTTGGAACTACTTGGATTCATCGAGTTGCTAAATATCCCATGTCATGTGCTACCCCATCACATTAATATCCATACATACGGATACAGATAAATATTACATGCGATTTTCAATAAGCGTGATCTTGGGCAGAGCAACATGGATCATGTGAAACGACACGTGCCCTTCGCAATACATGCATTGCACGCGCACCTTCCACGTGGGCTTGGAGTGAATCAAGTTAAGCCAATAGATCCATCATAATTGTCATCATCAAAACCGTCTTAAACGGTAACACGTCATCATTACACCTGGCAGAGGATGCGAACAGGAGGTAGCAGCAGCACACAGTAAGGGATGAACGCGTGGCAGCATGGAATCTGATCACATATTTTCATTCTTCCTTCTTTATATGTATGAATGAGCTTCCATGAAAATCCAACCTGAAAACTGGAATAGCCTGAAGAACATTGCATCAAGGGAACAACAAGTGACAGAAAATGGGTACAAATGAGGAACCAATTCTCTCCAGGATTGATCGTTTGGACAATTTGGTATGTTTTTAGTGGATTATTTTGCTTTGCTTAATACACTTTACTTAATTAGATTATGCAAGTCTTCTTTGAAAAGTGGGTAATATATTGTAATTTTAGTTCTTCATATTTTGAATGTATCAATTAGATTTCAAGTATTTTAAAAATGATTTTAGATCAATACTTTTGAAGAAAAAGAGTATTAGAGGGTGTGATGTTAATTATTCTTAAATGGTAGAAGTTGAGAGTGAACTTCTTAGAGGAGTGAACACTAAAGGGTGGGTTTTTGGATTTTCCAAGGTATGTTAACTATTTATTCCTTTTACCTTCAAGAATATTTGTCTGTTGTTGTTGATTCAGAATATAAATTTTTAGTTTTCTTTTTAGATTGGGAGAAGAGTTTACACAGAAGAAAAAATTTATGTTTTTAAATTTTTTATATTTTAAAAATAGTTGAGGCAATTGGAGGAAATTAGAGGGTGCAATCGATCTCCAAAGAGCTCGTGTGCATCCACTCCAAAAAGCGGAAGTGATGGACGCGTGTCATCCATCGATTTCTCCCCAAAGAGCTTGGAGAAGCACTGCCGTCCGATGGAGAAAGTGATGATGGAGATCGAAGTCAAAGGCACGATGATCGAGAGGCTCAATCAAATGGAGGATCGATTGCTAAAGGTATCTCGACCGTTGGATTTTGGCTTGTATGGAAATGTTACCATTTATGACATAGATTTAACTTTATTTTTACTCATTAAAACTCAAATTGAATCTCTATAATTTCCTTAAAAAAATAGTTAATATTATTTTATCTTAATTCATATTGAAGATGGTAGCAAATGAGTATAACTGTAACCTAATAGAGTGTAACGTGTTGAATGAAAGGTGTGTTTGCAGGTAGAGGAAGAATGGACGACAGCAAAGAGGAAGAAAATGAATAGCCCAAAGGGAGGTTTTAAACAGCTTGTGAAGCAATGTGTGAGAGCAAGAGGAAGACATGCCAACAAAGAACCATAAATTAATGTTGTTATAATCGTTCAAAACTGTGTCAATGTTTGCAATTTTAATGTACATTTTCATTTATTTTAGTTTTAATTTATTTAAGTTCATATTATTTAAAGTTTTATATAACACTAACTTCTAACAATATCAATGTAAAATGTCATTAGTTTAATTTAATTACATTCGAAAGTATTTATTATTTGAAGAATTAATATAACGTGTTTCAGGAAATTGCAAAATGTCTTTCTCATAGGGTTGAAGATTCGAGGAGAGAGTGGAAATTTCTCTTTTTTGTCTGTTCTAATTAGGTTGCTTTATTTCAAAGTTAAGGTACAATTCATTACTATAAAAGTTCCTTTTTTTTAGGGTTGGAGAATGAGGAGAGAATGGGAAGTACCACTACATTATTGCCCTTTACTTTTTCCAAACATCTCTAAATTAGGCTAATAAAGTTTGGTAGAGATAAGTGACATAAAATTAATATAATTAAATTTTAATATTTTCAAGCTTAATTAAGATAAAATATCATTTTTACTGAAAAACACTACCAGAAGTAGTTAAAAGTAATACGCATAAGTTTTGTCTTATGTTTAAGTCACCCAACATTTTTTACTTATATTTGTCTTAAAATATTGACCCTAGAGTTAAAAATGTTTTTCAATAATAATAAAAAAATCTATTGACTTGTAAATAATTCAACGTGCACAAATAAACATCAATTTATCTCCTTTATTAAAAAAAAGAGAGTCAAATTCTCTGAAAAAAAAAAAACTTTGGGCTTATTGAACAATATTTTTCCTTGCTCATCAACAACCCAGTTGCACTTGGATTCCTTGACCTATGAAGGATATAAATTAAGGATATTCATTTTAAGAATTAATTTCTATTTATGATAATCGTTGAAAGAGGTTTATATAATTTTTAATTAAATTAGCCACTTTTGATGATTAAACAAATTTAAGATAATATGAGAAATCTGTTTTGAGTTTTAGATAATTACATTGTTAGTATAATTTTTTTAATCTTTTTTCAATTTAATGTTAAATATAAAATATCATTAATATAATTCAACTCCGTAAAAAAAAATAACACATTTTTAAATTTTAAAAATCTAAACAATTTAGAGAAACAAAAAGAATTACAATCTTATAAGGAAAAAAAACCTAAAAGTCATTCTTCAATACCAATGATGTTAACTTTTCAGAAAACTAATGGAACAGTACAAGAAATCTATGGAACAAGATTTATAATGTAATATAGTTGTTTGTGGATACCTATGTTGCCTCAAAATACCATTTTTAATGATCAAATTGTGAAGTTTAGTGTGTGTAGATAAGTTTTTATGCAAAAGTAAATGTTTATGGCTGGAACGGTAGTGCATGCACATGATGATGGCACCAACAAGCCCCAATTTTAGTGAATGATATCTTCTACTTGTCTTTTCTTTATCTTTAAAACGAAGTGCATGGTTTTCTTTACACGTAGGGTTCTATCATAATCAAGTTGGAGGGAAACAACTCTTAACACCTATCTCTAGCTATGTCTTTTTTATTATTATTATTATTTTACTTTCCTTGGTTCAACAAATGCTATTTTTCAAAATTAGATATGACCCTAATTCATATAATGGCTTATCTTTTCTTTTTCTCGCCCAAACCATGACTAAAACCATGAACCCACAAAAGATAAAAACAAAAAAAAAACTAGTTATTGTTATATTAGTGGTATTCTATTGTGGTGAACTTAGAGCCACATGTTTTAATGAAAAATGTTATATTTATTTGAATATGTACAATGGTGGCCCCAATAAAGTTCACACGTTTGTAAGTGAGTGCATGAATTGATGTTGTGATGGAGAAACGTATGGTTAAATGCACTTGTATTTGTATATATAGGTTAAAAATTTAGAACAGAAAAAAAAAACAATATTACTTAAGATAACTCACCTTAAAAGTAGGTTTAGATATAATTTTTTTTTCTTGAACAATGTTGTATTTTTTTCATTCTTCAAAAAAATTATCTTTTGATTCTTTATAAATATTTTTGTATGTGGTCCTTATTATTTATTTAAAATGTTTATTTATTTCTAAAGACATGCAGGAAATTTTAAAATAACAGAAACAAATAGATATATTAAAAGGGTTGGGACAGAAATAACAAGTATGAATTATTTAAAAGGAATTCTTTAGACAAACTATAATTTCAATTATATTTGAGAAACAAAAAAAATGAAGGCTTGAAATGTATTCTGAGTTTAAAATAATAAGAAAATAAACAAAATAAATATATTTAAAAAGATAAAACATATATTCTGTTAAGATCATATTTCTTTAATATAATTATTTATATAAATTTGTTTCTAAGCCAATGTATAGTATAGTATAGAAGTTGATGATGCTGAAAGTGGACTTTGTCCGAAGGGATTTTGCATGGAGAATTCATGATTTAGCATAGAGCACTAACCAAAAAAGTTTTGAACATGAATCTCATCCTTATCTTTTGAGTTGAAATAATAGGCATGAATGAGTGAGGGCAATGCCTTGGCTACATTGGTTGGAGTCAGTCTTGGCTCTAAAGTCAAACACAACCCTTTGTTCTGTCCCCCTTTCAGGAGTTATCACCATCTTCACACCTTATTTCATTTCTCCTTCTTTCTTCTTTCTTCTTTTTTTTTTTCCTTCACCAATATCTCTTGCATTCAATTTTGTATCCCACCAACCATCTTCATCCACACACCACATTCAATGCTACATGAAACTTCCCTCCACACTAACACCCAACAAATAATACATTAGGGTTTTCAAAAAATAAAAATAAAAATAGTACTGATACGGAATTATACGGATTGGGTGAACCAAACCAATATATGTCGTTTTAGTTAGTTTTGGATTAAATCTTCAATTTTCACCAGGGTAAATTTTGCCCCAAAATTCATAACAACTCCAACAAAGAGTTGTTTGGATGGTCATAGGAGATAAAGCCTTAACCATGTGGTATCATAACGAGACCAAAAAGAACAAGTTGATAAAGAGACTATTAGATGCTTTCAGTCCACACACGTGGCACGTATCAAAAGGCATGAGTGGGTCCCACTGTCAATTGCATCATGTCTACGGTAGAAGAACAATGACTCATCGTACATATAGTTACACTTTGCGTGATCAATTTCGCCATTTCTAATCAACGGCTCAGTTTCGTTTTCCTCCATTATCGACTTACCCATCATTTAAAAAGGTAACTAATTAAGTATTTATTCCGTAATATTTTTTTTAAAATGTTATAATTTTAGAGGAAGAATGTGACGTTAAATGAGAATTGAAAAGTGTTGTGAGCCCACCATAGAGCACCGTCTCTTAGCCACAGCACATTGTGTTTTGGATGGACGGATGATAGGAAAGCGTGTATGAATGAATGAGGTTCCTTCTTCCACAACAAGATAGAGAGAGAATCGTGTCGGTTCATTTTCCTCCCACACCTTAATGCGGTTCCCCACAACAGACACCTTCTGATGTCACTTTGAATCGCCAAGTATACGATGATTAAGACACCCATCAATAATGCACGAATAATCGATACTCTAACTATTATTATTATTATTATTCATATACAATGCTCCCCTTTCTCTTCTTTCCTTCCAAATCCCATTTTTATCCATTCAAAAAACAGTAAATTAATAAAATATAATTAAATTTTTATTTTTATTTTAATAATATTTTCATAACGAAAATAAATTTGGGGTTTTTTATTATTATGATCGAAGAAAAAATAAATAAATCAAAACTATGTGTCGTACGTAGTGTAGTTGGTACAATGGTTTTTTTTTTTAAATCAGATGATGGTACTAAGATCGACATGAATATGAATCTTTTTATTTTCTTCATCTTTTAGACATTATACTAGGATGCTTTAATTTTTAGTAGATAATTAAAATAATAACTAGGGTACCTTAAATTTCTACTAGACTACTAGGATGTTATTCTTTTTTCAAACTTGTTTATATGTTTGTCCTCTACGTACAGTGGTTTGAAGCAAAATTATTCCTTTTATAAACAGAGTCAAATAATGACTTTATGTGGTGGATGGGAGTACAATACCCCATAATAACTTTTACTTTATCTTATATATATATAAAAAACTCTTAATTTATAAAATTTATGAAAATAATATAAATTTATAAAGAAAAAAAAACGTAGCACTTAAAAGTGATAAAAAGTAGTTGTATTAGAGTTTTTAGGTGGTGGAACAATTTAATCTGCAACAAATATTAACTTGGAAAATACTGTTAATTTTTAGAAATTGGGATAGAACTTTTGAACCAATAAACACAAATTGAACCTGTATGAAAAAGACATGAATGAAGGAAAAACCATTTTAAAATTTGATTTGGTTAACATCATGATACACTTAAAATTAAATGCAACAATGATGACAAATAAGCAAGTAAGATTAGAGGCATGAATTGAATTAAAACCCTAAAAAAAGATTGATTAGGATTTTTGAGTGAATAAAATGAAGTTATTTGTTTGTGAAAAAGAGTTGTATAAGGATAAGCATAGAAGGAAAATGGGTGTGGGGTCGGAGTTGGGAATGGTACCCTTTAGGGGGAGCTAAATAGAAAGATTGAAAGAGGGAAAAAGAAAAGACATGATTTTGCATTGACATTGAATACAAAGAAGGTTTCATTTTCATGGGAGAACAACGATGGGGACCATGTTAGGTTAGGTATTGTCTATTTATGAAGCATTAACCTAACCAAACTCTCAACGCAGAATCGATTTCCCGCCTTCATTTATCCATGGTTGTTTAGGTGGGGAACCTCTCCTCCATGCCTAACACCAGACCAACTACGATATTTCCCTCCTTCTTTTGGGTTTCCCAGTAGGGATTCACCAATTTATGTTTTTAAGGAGGTCTTCACATTTTATAATCCTTTTAATTCAAACTAACTTTCAAAATATTAAAAACTTATTTTAACCACATTATTTATTATTTTAATTTTGAGAACCATTTTTAAATTTGCCATGAAAAATAAACACATGAATCTGTTGCCTTCACTTCTTCCACGCATCTTCAATCAAACTTACTCACCACAGTCGTTTAAAAATAAAAATTAATATTTCATGATGAATCTCGTATTAGAATGATTTAAAATATAAAAAAAATTGTTTAAAATAAAAAGAAGGTTAATAACTATTCCTAAAAAGTTCCTTTGAAAATATATTTATTGTGATGGTAGTAGAATTTATATATATTTGAGTGTGTCTGTTTTTTTCATATAATAATATTCAAAGAAATCTTTATTTAAAATAAAAAAATGATTGAGAGTGAGAAAAAAAAAAAGGGAGGGACAAAAACACGAATGAATAATTTATCAGTAATAACAAATATATTTAAAACATTCTAAAACTATATGAAGTAACTTTAAACAAACACTTACATAAACTTGACGTGGGTTACCAACTAAGTAAAATTATCTGATGACATAAGTATTGAAATGATACACAAATTAACTTTTGTACATTCCGTAATTTTTTTCAATGAAGAAAATTTATTGTTTTGACAATAACAATTTTAGAATTATGAGAATCATAACTTTAATTGTTGTTTATCCTTTTGGGTGTGTTAATGTAAATTAAAATAATGGGAGATAGTTTTGAATAGTTTTATTAAATATTGTGGACTTGAGTGAAAATAAACAAGTTACATTATTAATTTTTATGTTATTTATGAAAAATTGTATTAAGTAATAACTTATATAATTATTATAATAAAAAAGAATATATATTTAAATCATAGTAAAAATAAACTTTCAAATAACTTTTATAATTTAATTCATTGCAAACTAAAAAAATACAATTTTTTTACGACAGACAAACTCCTATTAGAAAACATAATTAATCTCCACAAAATTTAATCTATTAAGAACTTAATTTGTTGATGATTACCTATCGAAAGAGGTTCAAATAACAGTGGATAATATATTATTTTTTTATAATATTTATTATTTCTGACGTTTTTTTAGCATAAAGAAAGGAAGATATTTTTTTGGGTGCTTGGATTTGACTCCACAATTAACACAATTGACTACTGTCCTCACTCTCCCATCATTGGCGCACGAGTCAGTCTCTCATTGGCGGATTCCAACCCCCAATTTCATTCCTCTTCAATGTCCGAATCAAGTCCACGCTTACCGGTCAACCGGTTCAGCCCTTCCCTCTCTCCTCCTCTCCCGACCACCCCCACTTTCCCTCCCACCGACCCTCCCGGTTCCCCAAAACCCGTCTCCAGAGACTTCATTTGGACTTTCATTTGGCGTGCATTTCACCACCATTTCACTCCCCTCTCAGATAAATTCACCCTAAATTTCCCCGCATTTCATTTCCATTTTCATTTCTTTCTAGACGTTACTTTCTCTCTCTCTGAGCACATTGACACATATTTTCTCTCTCTTCTTTACTCTCTCATGTTTCCTCAGTTTCATCGATGGAGAGTGAAGCCTTAAACTCTTATTCACTCTTTCAGATCTCGCCATTTGTTCATTCTTTGCTTGTTCTCACTTCGCATTCGCTCATTCTTTCGCTTTCTAAACTTGATCGTCACGGTGAATCTCTCTTTTCTCGGCTAATGATTTTTCCTTTTTCCTTTTATTGTCTTGCGATTTTAATTATTTCTTAATCTGTTGAGGTTTTTTCATGGTTTTCCTTTTCGTTCATCAGCTGATGAATTTGCGCGATCATCGAGTGAATCGCTATTTTTAATCATTGTTGGATGGATTTTTTTTCCCTTTTCGTTTTGCTATTGTTTTGATGTTAGGTTCTTTTCGTTTTTATCGTTTTCCTCAGATCTGTGTTGCGGTCTTGTTTCATTTAGATAATAATTATACATTTATGTATTATTATTATTTTCAGAAACTTGCTTCTTATTACAGAAATACTTCAGTGGTTGTTGTGCTATTTTGTGATTTGTTATTATTACTTACCCAATGGTATCGATTATGTCTATTTTCTATTAAAGCAGTGTTTTCTTTATCTGTTCTTAGAATCTATAATTAGCTTTTTTTTTTCCTATCATATTGTAAGATTATGAATTTTCTTTTATGCTAATTTTTTTTATTTATTGATTTTTTTTTGTGCGATTGTTGTATCCAGTTAATTGAAGGTATGAAATAGTGATCCAGAGAAATCAAAATCTGCTTCAACTTCTTCGTCTTCTTTAGGTGTAAAAGCCACACAGCTAACTTCAACGATATGAAAACGCTAACAGTTAACACTGAAGATTCTTTTTCCAGTTTGCTGGAGCTTGCATCTAATAATGATATTGAAGGTTTCAAGGTGCTTTTAGAGAAGGATTCTTCTGCGATCAACGAAGCTGGGTTCTGGTACGGGCGACAAAACGGATCGAAGCAACTTGTTCTTGAGCATCGAGCCCCTTTGATGGTTGCTGCTACATACGGTAGCATTGATGTACTCAAGCTTATTCTGACGTGCCCTGAGGCAGAGGTGAATTTCGCTTGTGGGGCGAATAAAACCACTGCCCTTCACTGCGCTGCTTCTGGTGGGTCTGCCAACGCTGTTGAAGCCGTGAAGCTGCTTTTATCCGCAGGTGCTGATGCAAGTTGCATGGATGCCTACGGAAATCGCCCTATTGATGTAATTGTTGTCCCTCCCATGCTGCAAAACATGAAAGCTGTACTTGAGGAGCTTCTTTCGGACAGTGCTTCGGATGGGTCTATTGGTGAATTCTCTGTTCCAGTGTCTGTTAATTCATCCAGCCCTGGTTCCCCGAATGGATTGCCATACTCTCCGTCGGCCTCGCCGCCTTCTCCGGTGGCGGCGAAGTTTACTGAAGCAGCTATTGGGTCTTTCTCAGAGAAGAAGGAATATCCTGTTGATCCATCCCTGCCTGATATAAAGAACAGCATATACGCCACCGACGAGTTTCGGATGTTTTCGTTCAAGGTGAGGCCTTGTTCCCGGGCCTACTCTCATGATTGGACCGAGTGCCCATTTGTTCACCCTGGAGAGAATGCAAGGAGGAGAGACCCTAGGAAGTTCCATTACAGCTGTGTGCCGTGCCCTGATTTTAGGAAAGGGGCTTGTAGGCGTGGAGACATGTGTGAATATGCGCATGGTGTGTTCGAATGCTGGCTTCACCCGGCTCAGTATCGGACACGCCTCTGCAAAGATGGTACTAGTTGTAATAGAAGAGTGTGTTTTTTTGCTCACACTGCAGAGGAGCTGCGTCCACTGTATGTGTCCACTGGATCTGCTGTCCCTTCGCCGCGATCATCGGCTTCTGCTCCTAATGTCATGGACATGGCTGCTGCGATGAGCCTTCTGCCAGGCTCGCCTTCGTCCGTCTCTTCCATGTCGCCATCCCACTTTGGGCAACCGATGTCCCCTTCTGCAAATGGCATGTCACTTTCCTCTGGTGCTTGGTCACAGCCAAATGTGCCGGCGCTTCATTTGCCTGGAAGCAATCTTCAATCTAGCCGATTGAGGTCTTCCCTTAGTGCACGAGACATTCCACCCGAAGACTTGAATGGAATGTTTGATCTTGATGGGCAGCAGCACCCTTTGAATGACTTGAGCTGTTACTTGCAGCCTCGTCCTGGTGCTGGTTCTGTGAGTCGATCTGGTCGGTCCAAGACCCTTACCCCAGCAAATTTGGAAGAGCTGTTTTCTGCTGAGATTTCATCGTCTCCACGGTATTCGGATCCAGCAGCGGCTTCTGTTTTTTCTCCAACTCATAAATCAGCTTTTCTCAATCAGTTTCAACAGCTACAGAGCATGTTATCACCAATTAATACTAATTTGCTTTCTCCCAAGGGTGTTGACCATCCTCTTTTACATGCCTCCTTTGGTGTGTCTCCTTCTGGAAGGATGTCACCAAGAAGTGTGGAACCAATCTCACCTATGAGTACACGCTTATCGGCGTTTGCTCAGCGTGAAAAACAGCAACAGCTGCGCAGTGTCAGTTCAAGGGACCTTGGTGCTAACAGTCCTGCCTCAGTTGTTGGCTCCCCTGTAAATGCTTGGTCCAAGTGGGGATCTCCTAATGGAAAAGTTGATTGGTCAGTAAATGGAGATGAACTTGGTCGTCAGATGCGAAGATCGTCCTCATTCGAGCTAAAGAACAATGGAGAAGAGCCTGATCTATCCTGGGTCCAGTCTCTGGTGAAGGAATCCCCACCTGAGATGATCAAAGAGAAGTTTGCTTCACCTCTGCCCACAGCATCAGCTGATGGACCAAATTCTAATTCTCAAATTGAAACCATTGATCATTCCGTTTTAGGAGCCTGGCTTGAGCAAATGCAACTGGATCAGCTTGTAGTCTAGTAACATTGACCCTTTACATTATCTCGTTGAGATAGGTATTTAATTTCGGAAGGTACATATTCTTTTGGTAGAATTTTTTGGGAAGACAGCAAGGAGAGGAGGAAATGTAGTAAAGGAGGTGGGTTGGCTGAAAGGTTACCTGAAGGATATTCTATTTTTTATCTTTTTTTTTTCTTTAATAATTGTCATTCATTATTTTACTACAGAGCTTCAGGAGAGCTGAAGAAGCTCTCTCTTGGGGTTGATATTCAATAGGAGAGAAATCCTGTCTGAGGTTATCTATTTTTCTTCCAAAACGGCCCGGGTCACAGGATTCTGCACTTTTCCATTTAACTCAAATTCTGAGTTGACTATCATCTTGCGAGCTAGATGGTTTATAATGCAACAAAAACCACTAGGACGCCATTGTTTAAAGAGGCTTTTTTTCTGAAAGTTCACTAAGGGAAGCCAAATCAAGTGATTTGCAGTTGTCAAAGATAAAAGCTATGAATCTCCCAGGGAATAATTAGAGAGGATCTGCACTGTTCAATATTCACTCAGATAATGGGAGATAGTGAAGTTTACAATGTTCTTTCTATGATGTATTACTTTGAATTTTATTATCTATCATTTTGTTTCAAATTCAAAATGCAATTATCTCTTATCATTTTGTACCCCATCTTCATTAAATTTGTGCAACTACCTGTACTTTGATTTCATCCTCTTTTCTGCAAATGCTTTTAAAGCCTTTTAAAGGGATATGTGGATGTGGAATGATTTTGTGGTCCTGCACTGAAATCTTGTAATTTCCTTTAAACTGTGAACCTGTTAAGGAATATCTTTTTGGCTTTTGTGTTGCTTGGAATGATAAAGTTCAAGATCTGAGGATGGTGTTAATTATGTTGCGTAAACACTCCAGAAAGTGGATAATAGTGTCATGAAAGTGGTAGTTGAGATTTTTTATGGGGGATACTTCTATGCCCCAAACCATAGTTGGTGTTTGTGGCCGCACATAATTGATGGATCTGTAGTAACACATGGGCATCCTTCTGAATTTAGTTAATTACAAATTGGTCATAATAATTCTGTCTAAACTGCCGAGAAACTTCACATAACAAATAGCTCAATGAAAAGCACTGCATGTTTTCCAGTAAGCCAGTCCCACATATGCAGAAGTTGTCGAAACCAATGATCAGTGATTGTAACTGAACATCCAAGGACTTATCCATCTTGTAAGGCATGGTGAGTGGTTCAACACATTATCTTACATCTGTTTGCTTACTATCTTGGAAGGCTCTGACTTTAGCTTCTAGTTATTTTTTTTAATAAATTCCGAGTTCGTATATCTATTTGTGGCTTGATTTATATATTGTTGTTAAAAGACTTAATTATGTTATACCCCAGGAAACAATCTTTTAGTCATTTTATTCCAATTTTAATAATTCGAACTTCTTTCAAAACATCTAAATTAATTTTCTTAGAAATATATTTTTGTAAAATACATAAAATATTTAACCATCCCTCGTGCTAACTGGTTATAGTAGAGTTTGAAATATTTTAAGATTATTACAATAATTTATTCAACTCATTGTTTTGAAGTTTTTAATTATTCAACAGTTATGGTTTTGAAACGTATGTGTCACTCAATAAAATAATAACTGAAATTTATAATTTCTTTCAGGTCTTAAAACAATTTTGGGATCTAAAACGAACTGTCTAATTGACCTTGCAATTGCTTTGACCCACTGAGACTTTGATGTTTATTTCTTATAATGGACTTAAATTTTGAAGAGGAGAAAAATAGATTGATGGGTGGGTGAGAGGGGTGCTTAAAATCTCTCCAATTTTTGTCTGGCAGAGATAAGAAAGATTTGGACATATTTTTAATGGGATTTTAAAGTGATAAATTTAATTTGGATTCAATATTTTGTAAATATAACTATCTTTCTCATTAACTGTAGTCTCTCTTCCCCCCCCCTTCATTTGACCGATATCTGTAAACGAATATAAAGAGGATTTAAGTGTGTCAAGAATATGTTGTATGGACTTTAACTATTTAAGGTTAATAATTTTTTAATTACTTTATTTCTTTTTCATTCTTTACAAATCAAATGGGGCTGTCTTTTATCTTTTCTTTCATTATTTCCTTTCTCATCTAAATTCCATTTCTTCTGAATTTGATTTTTTTTTGTCATTAGTAATAGAATGAGTTTACAGGGAGATAGAAAAAGTTTCTTCTTTTAACAAATATAATTAGTGAAAGTTTTAATGAATCATTTGGGTTAGTAAAAAAGTGGGTTTCATCTCATCTCTTTGGGCTCCAAATACCCAAGGCGTCATTTTAAAAAATGAAAAATTTGACCAAGTTTAACAAAGTGTATGAAAAAGAAAACGTATTATGTGGAGTTTTGGAACGTGCTTTTATTTTCTTTTGATGATGGCTGCTACCATGTGCACTCTGTACCTTTTTCCAACCAAATCGCGTGCTTCTCACTTTCCAGCCCAAAACAAAAAAGGATAACACTAATAATAATAAGAACTTGATTACTCTATAAAAGAAACAAAGTATTGCACAGTGTGAACATTAGTTTATAATAATGGAGAAGATTAGTGGTTGTAGGGTAATCGCGGCGCAGGAATCATTAGGCCTGTCACTAGATAATCTTATCTATCCTCTCTCTTTTTTAATTTTAAACAAAAATTTATTAAGAGGTGTAACAAAATAGACTATGGTGTAATCATATATAAATTTGTTCGAGTAAACCATTCAACATATGAATCCATTAATCAATATAAAATTATTTCTGTTTAATTATTTTTTTTAATTGAAGATCTCAAAAACACTTGACTTAAACTTAAACACGACTATTTCTTACAACTAATATTAAATAAGATTAAGTGCTTTTTTACCAAAGTTCAATTTGAGAATTGACATTAATAAAATTGATAATAATATAATGAGTATTTTTCAAACTACCTTGTCAAATGTGATTTATTATCCATAGGCAAAGTGACCAACTTATGGTGCATGTTTTGTTACGCCTCTCAAAACATTTATTATCAAAAACTCAAAACCCACTATTTCTAGCTCTTATCTGTGTTCCTTTCATTTAACATTAAAATATGAAGATTTTGTCACCACTGTTTATCTCTTTTATCTACTTCATGACCATTTTGAAAAGGAAAATCTTCAACACTAACCCACTCCATAGTTTTTTTTTTTTTTCTATTTTCTCAAAAAACATGGACATTTGTAATTAATTCACTTTTGAAAATTAATTAACATTCTTGAAAAGTTTTGATGTTGTTGCAACTGACACTGTAATTTTAAAAGTCACTACCCCAAGTAATTCACTAGTCATTAAGTGAAGTGTCAAAAGGTTCAAACAATCTTTAAAAGAAGAGAAAATTCTAAACGGTGCTTTAAAAGTTTATATATATATATATATATATATATATATATATATATATATATATATATATATTATATATTATTCTAGTTTCTACGTGATTTACGGTGGAATTTCGATCGATTTCGATTCTAAAGATGTCTCGGTCTTAATCGAAATCCTACCACGTAAGTTCTCGGTCTTAATTTTTACTTAGGCTAGCAGTTTGATTTTCAATCGAAAACGTGCATGAGAATCGAAAATCACAGGATATCGAAAACGCTGTTTTTGGTGTTTTGTATTTAAAGTATCGAAAGCATTAAGACTATCGAATCGAAAAAGCAGAATGTTAAATTGCGAGGAAATGTAAAGTGCGAAAACTCCAAACTTGCATTAATTGTAAATAGCAAGAAATCGAAAACAACGCAAATATAAATGACAAGAAATCGAGATTGCAAGAAAAGTAAATGACAGGAAATTGAGATTTGCAGAATGTTAAATAACATGGAAATCTAAATGCAGAAACTCAAATTTTCATTGAAATGAAATGGATAAGGAATTGAAAATACAGAAACATAAAATTGCTGAATTTAAGTTGCATCAAAATAAATTACCAGGGAAAATACAGAAAGCGGTAAATGTACTCAGTGAGCAAGGAAATCCAGATTGCCAGAAGCTTCATGGTGTTCGTCGTTTCTCCGGTAGACTTTTCACTACTGATCCTGTTCTCTGCCAATTTCTGTCCCCTTGTTCCTTCCTCCTTTGCTCTATTTATAGGGCATCCTTCAAGCCTTCCGAGAGCAGTTAACGCGACTGCTACCACGTTCTACGTGCATATGGCAGTTTATCTTCTATAGTTTCCCACGTTCTCACGATCTCTGACTTTTCCCATGATTTCAAAAACTGCTCTTTATACGTGCATTCGACTTACTTCCTTTCACGATTTGGCCAAAGTCTCGATGTCCATATTGGCTTTCTTTTCTCTCTATTCTGTATTTTTCGAGAACTTCGAATTGCTTACGATTCCTTTTTAACCCTGGTCTTATATGACTTAGTTTTTATTCGACAACAGTCATTTGATTATAATTCATTCGATTCTCGATTGTGCTTCTCGATGCTATGTGCTACGTATTTCTAATTAGACATCGAATGAATTTTTGTTTATCTTATCGAGTCACATTTCTTTCCTTCGATTTCGATCGCTTTTCTCGATTTGCCACTAACACTACGCAAATGTTTTAGTATATATTATTTATTGAATATAAAATAGAGTTAAATACAATTTTTCTTTTCCTATTTTCTTCAACCGCAATTAGATTTTAATTTACAAATAGAGACATATAATATCACATTTTAGAAAATGCGTATTCTTTTTATCAAATCTTGAATTTTACACGTGTTTTATTTCTTTCGTTCAACTGACACTATACCTAATTTATTCTAAATATAAGAAATAAAAAAACATCCTATGTAATTATTTCAAATAAAATAAATAAAAAAATAGACAAGATTAAATATTAGACAAAAAAATCAGATTTTTTTATAAATGAGGATCAAGTGTTTCTAATTTAAAATGGGCAACATAGAATGCCAAAACATAATCTGTCTCTAAAATATTGAATATTTTTTTATATTATAAAATATTACATAAAATTATTTTAAATTCAATATTTTATGTGAGAAATCATGAAATTAACAAGAAGAAATTGTAAGAAAAATACAACTTCCTCCATTTTTTAGTAAGAACATGAAATCAGAGACCCAAATGATAGATTGTGCATGAAATATTTTCATAATGACTTGCAAACAATAGGACAGACAAAGCATATAATTTGTGTGTGTTCCCAGATGTGGTGAAGGACAAAATCAGGTAACTTTCCACCTTCAAATGTCATTGTGGAAAGTGACAAAAGAAATTTAGCAAAAGCTCTTTGCCAAAGCTTGAACAATATCATCAATCATGAGGCAACTCCACTATGGGGAATTTTCTTAAGTGTTGATTGTAATGGAGTGAAAGGTCAATTTGGTTAGGCAAAAAAAAAAAACAAAAGTAGTGGACAATTATTAATTGGCTTGTTACATGCATCAATTGAGAACATGCTTAATAAGGATTAGGATAATAATTAGGGTTAATTTTGTTTGGGTTGTGCATTGACTTAGTGAGATAGGATTGAGTTCAACTACTCTTAGGCTTTGGATAATAAAGGTGTTTTTGGTTGTTTTGTTATATAAGTATTTTTTTTCCTTTGTTGCAAGTTAAGAAAAGTTGTTTCAATGTTTTCTATACTAAACTATAGACTCTTTTTTTTTTTTTTAATTTTATGCATAAATTTAATTTCAGTTTGCTCTTTAATTTTAAATTGAGTTCCACAAAGAAAACAATATATACATATATACTTTCTTTTACATTGTATTGTATGAATTCAACAACATGAAAATCTCAGAATGTGAAACTGGTGTTTTTAGATGAAAGTGATAAACACAATGTCTGAAACAGATGTTTGTTTTGATTAATTGCACAACAGTGAAATTATTACTTGCTTTTGACCTAATTTTTTGTTGGGTTCAAATATTTCTACTCCACTCTGGGCTGTGAAGGACTGTGGCCCAAACGGACCAATCCATGACCCACTTATTTTCTAAAATCTAAACAAATAAAAATGATAAAATAAATTAGCTTTTAAATAACAGTTTAATAAAAATAATTTTAAAATAAAGTGTATTAATTAGAACAAGTATTAAAAGTAAAAATAAAACTTAATATACATAGATGATTATCTTTGAAATAAATGTTAGCAATAAATGTTTTAGATTCATTGCAAATAGAAGAATTGCAGTTTGAAAAAGTAAATTTAGGAAAAGTAAAATCACTTTAATTAAAAAGAGAAAATATTACTAAAGCATACTCATAAAACAACAAGATTTATTTTACTACATAAAGTTGGATAATTCAAGGGGTGAAATGCAAATATATAAATCATAAATACATTCATGTTTAGAAAATCATATTTAAAAAAAACATGAATTATATTACTTAATATAATAATAATAATTATAATTATTATATATATTTTTATTAAAAAACTCAATTCAATAATAATTATTACATTGAGATGTTTAATAAGTATTTTTATAATATCATTATCAAATATAATCACCTATTTCAAAATATATATAATATTTATTTACATATACTGTGTTTTTCTTAACTTTTACATTTTGAAATAATATATATTATTCTGCTTTTTTAAAAAATTAATACATAAAAAATTTATAAATAAGACTCCCACATTCGATAAAAAATAATTATATATTAACAATCGTATGATTTTAAATCACTTTAATATAACAATATAATAATAATATTTTTATTATTATATTAGAATTACATCGTGCACTCTGTGAAATAGAACATGGAGCATGCTTCATCATGCTACATCATGCATGAATTGATTCTTGGTCCCCACTTACATTGAATTTCCACCCTCCATTTTAAATATTTCTTCTCTAAAATAGTTAGTTCCTACAACAACCCTAGCACACTGAAATGATATCTAGTCAAATTTTCTGAAATTTTAATTTTTAAATTATGAAAATATCAATGAGTATTTTTCTTTCAAATATTTGTTCGTTAACTATTAACAGTACATTAATTGCTTCGTAAATAAAATAATAATTTTAGTTGGTAGAAAAATTCATTTAATTTTAAACATTTTTTTAACAACCCTTATCTTGTTATGTGTCACAAGCCTTTATTTATTTTTGGTGTTGTTCCGATAGGCTTTGAAAAATTGAAGTAATTAATTAATGATTCTTAGTTTGAAATTTTACTTATAAGATGTATATGCCCTAAGAATAAAACAGGAAGAAGAATCTGCTGAAAACCAGAATATATAATAAAGCAATCTGAGATGTATTATACAAAAGTAAAATAATACGTGTGAATGAAGCCATATCCAAGAAGTATTAAAAAATATGCAGAAGAAAATAATAATAGTAAAGTTCCTATGTACATGGGGAAAAGTGAGAATGTGAGTACAAAGGAAGTAAAACTCTACAACAAAATTTGTCTGATAATTAGATAATATATGCTAAGCCAATGAGCAATCTCTGAGATAGCGCCAAGGTCCTGTCGCAGTTCCCATCCTGCATGGAAAATTATCAACCATCACCTTCATCAACCTTTCATACAAAATTTTGGTTTTTCTACTTATTTATTCTGATGTATAAAAGAAAAATGGAATAAAAAGCTACGTAAATGTTTTAATGAAACTGTTATGAATATTAAACCAGTTTCGAAGATGGAGTAGAAGTAGTTGATTGTTACCTCCACACACCAGCCAACATGCGAAGAGTCATATATATGGTTAGTGCAATCCAAATGCCAATGAAATGTTTGGTCCTGTAGAGAAGAAACTCTATTCCTACACTTACTACTGACACCAGCATCTGATAAGAAGAAGGCAAGAATTAATAAATCTGGATGATTAAAGATGAAAAAGTATGATAAAAATATATGAGACAAAGGGCACGTGTGAACTTGCCAGAGAGTATGCTGCATATGCAAAATCAGAAGCTCCATAGTTCACACCATCAAATACAAAGGCTAATGAATTGATTGGTTGAGTAGCAGCCACGAACTGGAGGAACATTACATAAAGGACAGTACATAATTAGTTAAAACATAAACATATGCTATGGTTTTGATTGATGATTTGATTTTTAAAGGGGATTATCTAGTACCGGGATGCCTATTTTAATTAAGTGCACGACTTGAACATTTCTGGAAAATATTCCAGCTCCAAAGTATAATCCAAGTCCAACAGCAAGAGAGAGCCCTGTGCCTAAAACAAAACTCATTTGCAGTGTTCTTGTTGCAGCTGCTGTTGTTTTCTTATGGTCTTTTTCAGTAAAAGAACAAGCTAGAATTGCCTGTGAAGAAGGGAATAGAATGTTTTGTTAATTATAAGTGAAATCCAAAGATAAAAATATAAAGATGAAATGTTCCCAAGCTACAGCATTATAACCTGAACAGCAACAGCTAAACCGTCTGCAAGAAGGGATGATGTCAACCAGACTTGTAGGCATGTTTGAAATGCAGCCATGGGAATTGAACCTAGCCTTGCTGCCAATGATGCTGCCAAGGTCACACAAAATGTCACTGCAATCACCCTTAGCATCAACAAACCTCCTGCAACAAACAAATTGAAAACAAAATCCGTTTAAATCATTCAACAATGTAATTCATCAATAAAGAAGTGACTTTTTTTTAACATGGTATATTTAAACCACCTTACCATTTTTAAGAAATCTAAAAATCTGCAAATCCTTTACGCTTGGAGGTAAGAGATGCACTTTTCTCATTAATATGAATAAGAGAGTGAAGGCCATCATGTACCTGCAAGGTTTGCTGTTTTGTAAGAACACGAAATATGACCAACAATTAGTATTCAAATTCAAATATACAACAAAATAGACTTACTGGGAAAGAACGTGTGATATGGCTGCACCTCTGATGCCTAATTTCAATTTGAAAATAAGAATTGGATCCAATATGACATTAAGTGCATATCCCGAAACTAAAGGAAACCAGCAAACAACTAAACCAAGTTAGGGAAAACAAAACAATGTGCATAATTAATCACACTTCATCTCTCAAAATATAAGCTTCATTCTAAAAATGTGTGTAATTTCAACCTACCAATGACATATAATGGAGTTTTTGTATCCTTAAACCCTCTGAAGATTCCTTGCATGGCCAAGGAGAGAAGCACTGCAGGTGCCCCAAACGATCTCAACTTTAAGTACTTTTCTGCTGGATTTAGCATTGGAGAATCCTAAGCAAAGTAACAAATCCATTAGCATAAACAGGATGAACATTACACATTTTTTATTTTATTTTACAGAGTCACGTATGTTACTTTGTCTTGTGATTAAGTATCCAATCACATATGATTTTTACAGTTTTCTTATTAACATTATGTTTTTTTAATTATTTTAACACAAAAAAGGTCTTTAATGAACGATATTTACAGCCGAAGAAACTCACTGGTTTCACACCCATAACACCTAAGAGTGATTTGGCACCAAATATAAGAACAAGAGCTTGAATGAGGCCAAGGATGGTGCCAAAAAGTAGAGCTGTTGATGCTGAAGCTATCCGTCTCTTCTTCTTTCCAACTTTCTCACCATGCTTAGTAATGCATGAAGACTTGCATATATTTTTATTCCCTTCTGAAAGGTAATTAATATATAAACGATTTATCACTGAGTAAATACTATGTGTAGGATTCTACTCAAGAACTTTCTAGGAAGTAGCATAACTCGGGTTCGCTGTTTTCAAAAGCAGACGTAGCAGTAGCAGTAGGTATAGGTGAACCAGTATATATTTTTTATTACTGTTTTTAGAACCGCAGTTTCAACCGGGATCATATTAGAAATTGGTCCCTGCGTTGTTTCAAAATGATGGGACTTTAATTTAACTAGAACAAAAATTGATTGAATTCCTGGGTAGAATAATATATAAATACATATGGTTAAAATTTTTTAATATAATTTTTATTTATTTATATAAATTAATAGTTATTTTATTATATTTTTATCTATTTTTTATTTTTTAATATATTTATATTTATAATTTTTAATATAACTTAAAATAATTATGATAATAACTTTTATTATATTTTTTTATAAACAATATTATTATTAATAAATTTATTAAATATTATTATATTATAAAAATATTATTTTATTAAATTTGATGAATCTGAATTTATATTTCTACCGATTTTATAATTGATCTGATTTTAAAAATATTAGTTTTTATTTTTTAAAATTTGAGATGAAACCAATTTTGATCTCCAAATGTTACACAAATAGTTTATTTAGTTAAATTAAAAAAAACAGTTTTAACCTCTATTTAACAAATAAAAATGGTTTTAAATAATCAATTTAATCTCTTAAATATAATATTGAAAAACTGAATATTTTTCTAAATTGAAAACGACTAAACTATGTAAAAAAATATCTGTGTTAAAATTTATCCCAAAATTCAAAGAGTAAAAACAAAATTAATCACAAATAAATAAAAGTTATTAAACATATAACATAATAAAATTTATACTTTTTAAATCCAAAATTTTCATATTTTTACATTAATTATTACGTAAAATATTATTTAATGTTAAAAGTACAAATTTAATTATTATCAGTTTAACGACAGTTAAACCATTATTTTCACCAGGTTTTCATTTTAAACCTTTGTAAGACCCTGATTTGATAAGAACAAATTATAAAGAGGAAAAAGATATTTTGACAAAACAACCCTATAAACAACTGCATTTTATATTATAATAATAATTTTAACTATTTTTTATTTTTATTTAAACTCTTTCATGATTATTATATTAATAAAATGAGTTATTTTTTGGGTTATTTTTTCTTTCGGTTGTCAAAAGATCATCACCCTTATAAAAATTGAAGTGAATAAATTCAAAATATGCACAAATAGAGAGAATAAAATAAAAAGTATAAGATTTACTTGTATTTTTAAAAATTAATATGAAGTATATCGTCACTACATAGTATAGGTCTGTCAAAAAGGTCTGCATGGTAAAAAAGGACTGTACAAAGACGGAGAGAAAAGTTACCATGTCCAATTTTTGGGTCATTGTTGGTTGTAGCATTACCATTTTCCACATCTTGGAGTCCAGAACTTTTGACTACGAGATCCTTTGATTCATGTTTTTCAACCGTAGATTTTTCCGTAGTCTTAATATTCTCTTCGGGGGTGCCTTTTTCTATGTCATGAAGCATATGATCCTCTGGCATAATCACTTCACTGAGCTTATATTTGTCACCATTTTGGCCTGCTTTGGTATTCAGCCTTTCAAGAGTATCTTCCTCAGCCACAAATGAAGTGGTGATGCTGACCAGAGGGAATATGGTGATTCTTGAAGCTTGGTTGAACAAAGCAATGGAAACTCCTGCAGCAGCAAGTTCCACTGGCCCTGAACACACCAAAACAAAAACTCAGCTTCCAGAGAAAAAAATTCTGACAGAGCTTATTTGAGCCTGTGACATGCAACACAAACCTCTCCTAACTGTTAACACAAAGAATATAGAGTTATATTTTAAATTTTCAATGCAAATCTTCTTTAAATCCATTAAACTATTTGATCCAAAATCCAGAAATATGATTTTACTACCCATAAAACATGGATGGTTGAATGTGCATTCAAGTGGGTATATTATATGCATATTTTGGTGAGAAGGAAGAGAGATATATGAATACCTAAGTGGCCTATGAAAGCAGTGTCTATGAGAGAAGCAATGGGATCAGCAGCAACGGCGAGTGCAGAAGGGAATGCAATCCCTAATATCTCCCGAGAAAGAGCATCCAGCTTAAAAACATGCCTACATTTGATTAAACAAAGAAGCAGAATCAAGTATAAACATTATAAAACTACATTAGTGCTTATCACATAACACCTGCACATGTAAATGCAATAATGGAACCAGGTCAAAGAATTTCCGGACAACAGTATTATCCAACATGTGGAAGAAAGTAAGTGAACTTCAATAAATTATTCCAGAGCCTCTTATGATATCTTATTTTATTTGAAGAATTATATATCAGAAAACACCCTTTAAATTTTTACCCAGCACTCACTTTTTCTGGTTTAAATTTATTGAAAATTACATTGTGTTTTTATGATTTCTAGAATGTGTCTAAAAAAATATTGAAGAGTTTGTTTTGGGCAGTTGTTGTTTTAGATAGGAAAGTGGTGTCAAGAAAAATGAGTAATGTATATAGTGAATATATACAACAGTAACATACCTGGCATCTTTGAAGAAAACAAAGATAGGTATTTTGTTCTTGTTGTTGGGTTGGTTGGAACTGGCATTCTCGTCCATTGGATTTTGATGAATCTGACAGAAGAGAAAGACGTAGAGGAAGTGGTTGAAGGAAGCAATGAAAAGGTAAGAAGAAGATAGAAATGTGATACCTTTTTTGGGTTGAAAGATCTCAAGAGAGGTCATGGTTTTATAGAGTCATTGGGGATATCCAAGAGCCACATAATCAACCATTACAAGCATTATAGTTTTTGTCTTCTTCATAGTTGGAACCTTCCTCAGTTAAACTACACTCCTAGATTTCACATTCTAATTATAAAGAGAGAAAAAATGGTGTACCAGTATATTTTTTAAACACATTTTCTTATTATTACCTAATGCTCAATGAAAATCATAAAATGATGAGTGTTAAAAGAACCTTCTATAAAAAAATGATGAGTGTTAAAAGAACCTTCTATAAAAACACTAAAATAAATTCTTACCAACTATTGATCACATTATGAGTACATTTATGCAGATTTCAGCTATGTACATTGATGAAAGAAATTGAATAAAAACAAAGTAGATAACATAGAAATGGGATAAATGTTTGGTAAGTTAAATGAAGAACATTAGAAATCCTACAGCAAACACCGTCCTCAGTTGGATCTCTATCTACATAATGTCCTTGCTAGCAACATAGTAGAAACTTCGTGACAAGGATTTATATTATTATTGCTAAATTTTAGTTTTTAATTTGTATTTTTTTAAATTTTATTTAAATAAATTAGGTATAAAAATATGCGATTTTGGGTTTTAGATTCTAATCATATTAATTGGATCTTCTCCAAGTTTTATTATTATTATGCGAGTATAGTATTGAAACATATTAATCAATATTTTATCTATAAAATATAATTAATATTTGTAATAGGTGAAAAATCCAATTGACATGATTAAAATTTGGGAGATCAGAATCATAGAATTGGTTTTTGGAATTTACATTGAGTTCATCACTAGTACTCTCTGCGTGTACATAAAATCAAACCCACTTGTGTGAGTCTTCTAACCAACCTATTTGTGACTTGTTTTCTACTTAGAAATCAAAGATCGATATTTTGTTCTAGAAACAATTATGGTGGAAACCAGTGACGGATCTTCGGAGTGAGGGCGTGACCCAAAGTTTTATAACTCCATGTAATTTATGATTTTGCTCCAAACATATTGAGATTTAATATATTTCTGTATATTTACGATTTTATCCTCTCATTCCTCCTCAATTTTGTAATCTCATATAATTTATGATTTTGTTTCCTCAAACTTAATTATCATTTAATATATTTAAGTATATATCTACAATTTTATTTTTTCAACCTTTCATATTCTTTTTCTTTTTATTATATATTAATAATATATTATTTGACCCCCCAAGATCAATGGTCAAGATCCGCCACTGGTGGAAACATTATAGTTTAGTTGTGATGTGGTTTTTCAGGAATATTTTTTCACATGCTAATTGATTTACATATATAATTCTATCACTTTCTTCTATTGAATGGTCAAATTTGAAAAATGAGAATTCAATTCTTCTGACTGATTTTGTGAAGTGTTGGTAACATTTCATTTGCTTACATATATTATTAGTGTCTTGATTGTATAGTTGAACCTTCCTCAGTTATGCCAATAAATAAATTTTTAGGTTAAAAGAAATAGTGGCTAACAAAGTTTCCAATCGTAGATTCATGACCATGCAGTTCATAAATTAATTAATTCATCACTACAATTCTGACAAGTGTTGTCAACAACTACATCATTGAAAGAAGAAGGTACTCGCATAAGTACGTTTAGGAATATGTCATGGTTAGGTAAAACTTTTTGGACTTTCATGGTTATCGCTATTGTGAACAAATTTCAAACATTGAAATGTTTTTTTTATTCAAATATTTGAATACATAATGTATCCTTACATTAATTACAGGTAAGGTGATAAGAGTAATTTATATATATATATATATATATATATATATATATATATATATTTTTTTTTTTTTTTAATTTATTGAAAATAATTTTAAAAATATTTTTTTTAAGAATAAAATCGTATTCAACAAGCATTTTAAAATAATAATATTTAATAATAATATTTTAGATGTAAGAGTTAATTATATTATTATAATAAATATGGAACTAAATATAATAATATATAATAATAAAAATTGGACGTGATATGAAATAAAAATATGTGAAAATTTTGGTTGGATTAAGAATAAAATTCTGTAATATTAAATATTTAAACTTTGAAAATTATTTCATTCCCCAAATATCTAATTATTTGAATAGAAACTAAAAATATCTATTTTTGTTTAATTTACTAAGAACCTGTTTGGGAAACAATTTAATTAAGGACAACTTATTGAATAAAGGGTAATCGCGTAAGCACTTGTGTATAAGTTGTTTCCACAAATAAAGACGCATTTGAGTTAAGTTATTGTCGTACGGTTATCCGTGAGACGTGATTAAAATAAGTTGAAAATAACTTATGCACATATCATAACATAATTAGTAAGTTCTTGCATAAGCGATTTTTGGTATGCGATAATTTAAATAAAATAATAATAATAATAATTCCCTAGATTCACTCTTGCATATAATTATATTTATTTGTTTTATTTTAAAATTTATGTGAGGACATAAAACACATGTTTAAGATAGAAAACAGTTTCTTAAACTCAAAACAATGTTTATGGATATATTTTTTTCATATTTGGACAATTTTTCTATATAAAATTCTCTATAAATTTAAAACTAAATTATGCAAAAATTAAAATAAATAATTTTAAAAAAATTACATAAAAAACTTTCATAAATTATTTTTAACTTATTTTCTTATAGATAATAACTAGTTCCATAGATTTTACGTTTTAACTAATTTATTCACTTTTATTATACTTATCACAATAATGATATAAAGAGATACGTTTTTTCAAATTTAATAAAAATAATACTTATTATTGCTAGTTGTGTTTTGGAAATATAAATTAATTAAAGAGAATAGTATAAATGTTTTATTAGTATTAATAAATATTCTATTTAATATAAATAAAATATAAACAAAAATTAAAAGAGAAAATAACGTATTAAATTTAAAAGAAAAACTAATTAGGTTGATTAAATTAAAATAAGTTTAAAAATCATTATATAATTAAAAAACATCATTCAAAAATCGAAATCAAACCTAATTTAAATATAAATCGAGGTGTTATAAGAAAACCGTGATGAGTAAAAATTCTCCAAAACAATATTATTATAACGACCGACGTCGAGACTCGTCCCTTAAATGGAGCATGAAGAAGAACACTTTTTGCTTTATCGATAGAATAAATGGCACGAATACAAATGTGGTTTGCAGAGGATGCTTCGAAGCAAACCGTTGATTCTCGACAGCATATGATTTGTTGCATAAAACCCTCCTCAGTTGTCAAATCCCCTGATACCATCATACATACATAACACACCTACTTTTCAATACTAACAAAAACAAATTAATTCAAGTTTCTTTTTTTCTTAAATTTGATTTTAATTCATTTATGTTAGTGTTTCTCTTGAAAATTTGATCGATTTCGATTAAATCAGAGACTTAGGTTTTAACCAAATTTTAATTACGTAGATTCTTTTTACTTATGCTAGTATTTCTGGTGAAAATTTGATTGATTTCGATTTCTTAGGTTATAATCAAATTTCAACTATGTAAATTCTTTTTACTTAGGTCAGCAAACAGTTTTCAATCGAAACATATATGAGAATAAAAAATATCACAATGTCAATACCATAGTGTCGAGAAATGTTAACAATGCGATATATCATCTAGATTGACAATCGAAAGTACTCTTTTCGGTATTTTTTATTAAGAAACATGAGGTAAAGAAAACAGAAAAACGCATCGAAAACTGAAAGGTAGTACAGAATGTTAAACTACAGAGAAATGTAAATGCAGAATCCTCGAACTTGGGAAATGTAAATAACAGGAATTTGAAATTGCAGAAGTGTAAATAACAAGGAACTTAAACACAAAATCTTAACTTGCATAAAGATGAAAATGACAAGGAAATGAAAGGACAGAAACTTAAAATTGATAAACGTAAATTGCATGAAAGTAAATTACCAGGGAAAGTAAAGAAAGCGATAAAAACACTCAACGAAAATGGAAATCCAGAGCATTAGAAACTTCATGATGCGTCGTTCTCCTGTAGACTTTTCACTTATGTTTCTGTTTTTTCTGCCAATTCTCCCGTTTCCTTCATTCTTCTCTCTATTTATAGAGCATCCTTCAGGTAACCTCCTAAGAGCAATTAACGAAAACTGCTACCACGTCCTACGTGCACGTCCCTAGAAGTTTTACTTTAGTTCTACGGTTTTAGAAAACTGCTTCCACTTTCCAAACGCGTTTAACCGTTCCTCTATTTATGACTTAGCCATAATTTCGATAGCAATGTAGGTTAACCTTTCCCTCGATTTCGATTTCAAATCTCGAGAACTTTGAATTGTTTTTGATTCTCCTTAACCTTAACATTACACTTGATTCTAATATCTCGATTTTCTTCAACAATAGACATCAAATATTATTCCTTCGATTCTCAATTCTAATTCTCGATTTATGTGTTCATACTATTACGCGGTCATCGAATGTCTTCCAACCATCTTTTCGATTTATCAAATTTTTAACCAATCATATGATTCTCGATCTTTCTTTCCTCCGCTTTTTTGATCCCTTTATTGATTTTTTCACTAACAAAATGCCCCCTTGAAAGAATATAAATATTTTTACTAATTTTATATTCTTACAAAAAGAACAAATCCAACCCTTAAATATTACTGAAGCTACTGTTTAGGGTTTAGGGTTTCTGAGGTTTTTAGGGTTTTTCGCTGCTTTATGTCAAATATCAAATCACATCACCTTCCACTATCACAACGCGAACGCCACGTATTAATTACCCTCTTCTCATATTTGTCGTTTCAAATACCCTAATTGGCCTCTTTAAATACTCCAATCAATTTTACACTTGTTTTTTACCAAGAACCTAACCTATCTTCTTTCTTTGTCACACCTTTTCTCCGTCTTCATCCTTTCCACAACTGTAATGGCGACTTCCAAATCTTTCGACTTCCCCAACCCGCCACTTTCGTCGGTAACTTCGACTCTAATAGAGATAAATGGTAAAAAGTTCGCTTCAGTTCCCTTGTTGGAAGAAGCTTCACAGAAAATTGCCGAGACACAGGTACTTATCCCTTACGCAGTTGATAACGTAGATTATGCATTTGGTGGTCCTATCCGCTATTGTGGTGGATCATTTCCCTCTTCTATTTGTCTTCCTTCAGAGAGTAAAACCCCTATTCATAAATCCGAGGTACGGATTGATTTTCTAAATGCTGTTTCAAAAGTATATCGAACGGGCCCTCCCCATAAAAAACCTTTATACATCAGATGGTTTGATAGAGTAAAGACTAAGTTTGGGAATCACTGGAGAGATGTAGGGATTTTCGATTTTCTACACCTATCTCGATGCGATCTATCATTTCTGGATATGTCTATGTTTTTATCCGCGGTCCACTTATGGAATAAAGATTTACACGCGATGGAGCTTCCCTGTGGTCCCTTTCCCCCACTCTTTTTGAGGTCGCTGCAATTATCGGATTAAAGCCCACAGGGGAAAAATATTTTAAGAGTGCTTTCCTTTCAGACGACTCTCTCAAATCAAAAATCGATTGGGATTCGAAGGCCTATGGACACTTCATCGAAAAACATTTTATTGATGACCAATCGGTAGCCGTTTCTAATGAAGAACATGTCGCTTTCTTGGTATATTGGCTTTGCACCCATGTATTTTGCCCTCGATCCATCCAAATCTCATCCCATTTTTATAATCTTGCCTACCTCCTCCACACTGGTCAACCCCGGGTTTGTTTGACGAAACTATTGCTGGCTCATGTTTATACCACTTTCGATGAGGCTGTCGATATTCTGAATACACAAAGACCCTCAGGAAATTTCTCAGGTCCTATATGGTTCATTCACTTATGGCTCACTTCGATTTTTGAAAGTATCCTTCCCCCACCATCCAAAGTTTCCCCAAGTTTAAATTTAGAAGGTGCTCGATTATCGTCTCGACATTCTCACCAAAAATCCTCCAATGAGGTTAGTTATCGAACCTATCTGAAATTTTTATTAACTCGATTTCATTTCGATTCGTGTCTGGCCCCTTTTTACCGTATACCATGGAAAAGTAAGTGATAGACTTTGAGGGCCAACCTGGTTTAAATCAAAATTCCCAGCTCTTACTCCAGGGTTACAATCGGAACTAGTAGATGTATGAAGTAACTATTTGACCCAGGACGTTCTTGTATCGGGCTTTCAATCAAAGGATATCCAACTTGTCATCTATTACCCTCAACTTTTTCATGGCAGTTCGATTTAAGTCAGACTTTACCTTTTTTCAATCTCGATAGTTCCCCAAAGTCCAATTTAAATGAATCGAATGTAGGGCGAGAACTTGCCAAACTGTTACCACAAAGCCCGATGCATTTCTACCCTTATGCTTTTGAATCGAATTACTTGTCTACTCTTGGTTTTTCTCAATGGTGGAGCGATTGGTTTTCACGCATTCATTCTGACTTTGATATCGTCCAATCGAAATTGACTGCGCATCCTTCTCTCATGTTGCAGGATAAATCGAAGGCCAAGAAATGTACATACTCTCATTATCTCCAAATATCTCGATTTGAAAACTTTTATGGAGAATGCTACAACCCTCTTAAGTTAGAAGAAACATTTTACAATGTTGTTATATCCCTAGCTAATAAAACAGACACCAACAGATGGAACCACAAAATAATCAATCCTCGAGGAAAAACCCCGTTTGAAATGTATTGTCCCAACCATCTTCCCACTTTCCCTACAGCCCCTTTTGGAATCGCCAAACCTTTAACTCATCCTAAATGGGTTCGAGAGTTGAGATCTTTGAAAGAAACTCTTTCACCAAAACTCAAGAACAAGGAAATTTTGATATCGAAACTGTCCTATTTCTCTTACCTAAACCTTCCTCAACATCTTCTTCCTCCCTGGTTTGTCCATATCGATTGAGTCAAGATTTTAACTCCATCACCTTTTGGTGAGATTTTATTGCCTCTTTTAGAAATATTTTTAATTTTCTTCAAATTGTAATCTAACTATTTTTCTTTCTTGACAGTTTCGAAGCCTCATAAAGTCACCGTCTCTGAGAAAGACTGGGAGTCTTCTGATGAATCGGACCCATCTGCCCCCACTCAAAAACGAAAACACTCAGCTACAATTTCCTCATCTTCGAGAAAATCGAAGGTTTCTTTTCGATTCCCTATTATCTTGTTTATTTGATTTCCTTTTCTACAGCTGATTCACTCCTCGAGCCGCTCAACCTATCATAAATCCGTTATCGACGGACTCTAATATAGTCAGTAAAGCAGGTCAAACAACACAGACAACACAGACTCATTCAAGTCATGTAAGTTCCCCTCTTTTCATATATATTTTTGTATATCTAAAATTCGAGAAAGTTTGTAACATGATTCCAACTTTTGATATTTCAGGACCGTCCATCAGCTACAGTATTGACGAATGTCGATTCTTTGGTTCAGTCAATAGTACCAATTTTAGAGGTAAAGTTTAAAAATCATGTTTTTCTCGACTCATTCTACATGTTTCCCTTCTCTAACCTATATTTTGAACCGCAACAACCCGACGATGTACAGAACCCTTCCCCCGCACCAACGCACATCGACCCACCTTCTTCTGGTATAAATTTCTTCCTTGCTGCCTATTTTTACCTTATCTCTATTAGGATTTTAAATTCATTTTCTCGAACAAATTCATTTCCTTTTCAGATAATATTGTGAATATCCCCACAGTCCAAGTCCAAGATTCTCCTTCGCCATCTCTTGCAGAACAACCAATTTCCCCTCCTTTCGAGGTTCCATCTGTCGAGCTAATTTTATCGACATTGTCTGAAATAAGTGATCCTACCCCAGATGATTTACCAGAATATCGAACTACCATTGAAAAAGATTCATTCTCAATTCTCGATATTCTATTATCTGAAGACGTCACTCCTTCAAGCCATTCATCTAAACCACCCGCGACGTCGACTGAAGAAGCAAACAAACTAATACAACAATTCATGTCTTTCTTCTATTCTTCACCCATCGAAGTCTTGGTGGAATCGCGCGAAAAAAAAAACAAATTTTCCAAGAAATTCTTACTGCTATAGAGGCAGTCCCTGATGACACCCTTCCAAAGAGTTTCGACGCTGAAGTCGCAGCGGCCACCAATTTATTTAATAAAGCTTACTCTGCAAGGAAGAAAAAACAATCTATAGCGACCGAGTTGGCTGCCATTTCTACCTTCCAAGCTGAGAAATCGAGCTTGTTGAAAACTCAAAAGCTTAATCTTGAAGAGGC